ACTCTATAATTTGAATTCGAAAAAGCTACAAAATTCAGACGTGTTCTCAAAGCTGAACGTTGAGTAATAGCACTCGACGAATTAAAAAAATAATTCGAAAAAACCGGTATAGGTTAGCAATGACTTCCGTGCACTTTGATAAATACCAGTGGCGTGACGCGCACAAATTTTATAGACGTTCTCCCTCTCAGTTGCTTGGCACGTGTGCATACATATATATAATCTGCGCGAAATGTCTATAGGCGCACCTGCGTTGCCGTAATGTATACACGGCAATATATCAGTTTTGCATATTGCCACTCCATTTTGGAAAATCTTTTCTAGAGCGCACGAATGTAGCACATGGCGATATTACTCCTATCCTAATTCGCAGTACGCGTTCACTGCGACACTTGTCTTTTTGTTTCTTCTTTTCGATAATACTCATCAAAAGCTCGTGAACCTTCTCAGCAGTCTAATTCACAGTGCCAGTGTGTCAGGCAGTATGACGCGTATAACTCTTTAGCTTTCTCACTCGACCTGGATTTTTTCAACCGCGAGGAAGTATCCATCGATCAAACGAATCTTGCTGGGCATTATCAACGCCGAGATATATATTCAAAGCGTTTGCGAGTGAACGCGCGCTCGCTCGCTCGCTCGCGCTTTTGTGACGAATAGCTGGTGCTGAAATCCTGTTGAGCGGCGATAGTAATATTAAAATTTAATTGAGCACGCACTAGCTGGCTGGTATTTAATCAGCAAAATCCTCGCAAAGATTGTCTTAAAATTTGCTATTGTCAACCGGCCAAAGACAATCAACTGCATTTCACTTGAGGCTGACTAAATTGATTGCTGTTCTACTGCTGTTCGACTTTGTTACTCATTCTTATCGTTACGAGTTTGAAACTTGCTCACGCGCAAACACCTACAGCCGAACGAAAACAAAAGCAAAGTTATTTTCGGCAAAGACATGTTTTTTAGTAGGAAGCCCATCCGAAGATACTCCGCTAAGTGCAACATTCCCTCTTAGTGCGCGCACGTCGCTGAGCTCGTATCGGACGATCTATATCTATTGCGACGCACACTGTAAATGACGCGTGTTTTCTCTGTCTCTGGCTTTACTGCGTTTAATATCTTCGAGGCAAAGTTTTTAGGTGTTTCATTTGCTTTATTATTACGAATGGATTCTGCATAAAAGTCCACCACACGAGTAGTTATAGGGCGAAAGAGTAACGATCGAGTTTTTGTTCGATAAAGTATATTGTAACTGACCGAAAGTAACTTGTTTTCACGTTGTCAGTATACGTATATAATGGTGGCTGGATTGAACCAACTTTTTGGGCTGTGTTTCCTGCTGTTATGCTCGTGTAACTTTTAAGCGATTTTTTTAACCAAGAGATAAGCTTTAAACAAGCCCAATAAGTTGTAAATACGAGGAATTTTCATTTAGACGACATTTCAATTTCGTTGCTAAATGTATTTTATATTTTTTATAGTAGAATACGCAGTTATTAACTTTTGTGAGGATATTTTTTGTGGTTTGCGTGCTTTAGATATAGCTGTAGAAAAAGGGCAATGTTGGTACAGTAAAGTACGCTTTCGGTTCACTTTACAACTTTGCGAATGTAATGGGAAAATTTAGAGTTACGCTTCGACAATTAACGCAATAAATGCTAACGAATGAACATTGTTTTTTTCCGGCAATTGTTTAGCAGCTCGTTGAAAAATCCAAAAGCTCATTCCCGAAGGACTTTTTAATTCTCGAGCAAAGTTGAGAACCATGTGAAAGCAACATATTTTCAAGCAAAGTATTCGGCGATTATAACTCCATTAAAATTCTCAGCGGCATGCGCGCGCGAGCTTGCGATTGCAGCAGCCACCGCGCAAATAATGGACTTTTCTCCAGGGCGCTGCGAAAAGAATCAAGGCATTTTAATGAAGTTTTGCGGCCGGACGCGAGGAAAAGCGACCAAATGGAAAGGAGAGTGGAAGGCGAACGAACGAAAAAAAACCCACGCGAGTGTCGAGCTGTGAAATATCGGCTCGCAAGGGCTGCGATCGTAACCGTAGCAAATAAAGAAACTGGCTTTTTTTGTTGCTGCTATTGTGCATTTTTCTTTTTTCTTTTGAACGCTTACAAGACTTTATATTTTAAGCTTAACTTGGAGCGTGCGACATTTTCTGATTGGAAGCGTTCGAATTGAGTCTTGTCAAACATTTCAAATGATTCTATTTGTTTGGAAATTCGTAATGATTGGATTGCATGTAAGCGGTTTAAAGTACGCTGTAACTTGACAACAAATGAAACCAATTTACAGTAAGGAGACTAACAACAAAAAGCCTTTTCAAACTCGACGTGATACAATAGCTCTTCTTTCCTTTCAGACTCATTTTCCCATTAAACGCTTTCCTTTCAAGCAGCGTCTATATGAAGCAACTTGCGTGCACCGTACGTCTTCAACGCATGAAATTTATAATTTACCGCTGTCTTTAGCATGTTGGCAAGGTACTTTTTCCTCTCTTTTTCTTCGCGCTAGACATACAGACATAATGCTGTTCGCTGTCTTACAACGATAAACAAATTTCAACTTCTTGGAGGTCATCCGGCTATATTATAGAAATGCTGCGGGATATAATAAACTTTTCTCCCGAGATAATTCGTTATTTACTCGGCTAGGAAAAATTCTACCCAATTTCGTAACTTCAATTCGATTTCTCCGAATGAGGCACATGAAGCAAGATAGCTAAGTTTAAATTAACCTTCTTGCAACTTGCGAGACCTTTATTTCTCCGAGTTTTGGATACTTTACAGGTTAATATGTTTTGACAGCAATCACGAATATACGAATATTACTGATCAAACCTCGTAATTTAAATTAGCATACCTTGTTAACAGTAAATTCTACATATCCTGCAATATCCTGATGTTCGGAAAAAAGAAAATAAAAATACGCACCGAGTATCGGACTGTGCTTTCAAATCGGTTTTTTTTCGACTATTCAATCAAAGAAATTCCATTCATTTTTATAGTTTTTTGCATTTCTCAGATTTCTAAAATAAAAGTCATTTAAAATAAAATTTAATATTTCGCTGTATAGCGAATATATAAAGAGAGCTTTCGACAAATTGTTCTGTTTTTCGTGAAAAGAATAAAAAAATTAGTACTTGAACCTGAAATTTTAACTAATAAGTATTCGAATGTGAAGAAAAATCCGCTTCAAACATTTTCCACAAAATTTCTCTGACTCGTGCACGTTAATCATCCGAGTATTTAAAAGCTTTCGCTTACTCAGTTCGCTACACGTAGCGCGCACGCACTTCGACTCTCAAGATTGCAAAATTTAATCCAGCACGGCTGTAGCGCGGCTGCTCTCTTTACATCGCGCCGCAGTGCAAAAGGGTTTTCTCAAACAATGGGCGCCACGAGCTACCTCGCGCACGTCACGAAGAACAGAAAGAGCCCCCGTAGTCATTAAGTTTTGCACGATGTTAGTTCATGAAAAATTTCATCAGCTCACGCGAGGGGTAGGATAAACCTTGGCAAGGATCAGTATTGTGTGCATGGCGTCAATGTTGCGGTGTTTCGCTCGAGAAAATATTGCAAAATTAAAATCAGCTGGAATACAGTAGAAATATATTTATTTTCAATGTTTCGATACAATAATTATTTTAGACATTTGCGAGTTATTTTATTTGATACATTTTATGGTATAAAAATGTGTCTGACTTTATTTAGACTATGTCTACTCACGAAAAACAGTTTACGAATATAGGGATAATTTGGAAATGAAAATACAGCAAAACATTCATTTGAACGTAATCAAACCGATATAAATAACGTTTATTAAATTTAAACAATATGTTAACCATGAATTAACAAAAATTATCAGAAATCATTAAAATTTATAATTATCAGATTTTCACGGATCGTCATTTTTCTGCCAAGGCAGCTCGAATAATTATTCAATAAATTATTTTATTAGTCGCTGTTAAACAAATAAACGTGAAATGAAGCTCGAAATTTCGTCGTCAATTTTGAACTGAGAAAATACTTTGCGAAATTTTGATTGTCACTTCAGTCTACTCAAGAAACCTCGCAACCACATTTCAAATTCACTAGTCGCCACGCAATTTCATTAAGCAGCAAGTCTTCGCCTGGCGGCTTTCTTAATTCGTAGGTCGAAAAAGGAAAAAAAAACGAGAGAAAACTTTTCCGGATAAATTGCGCGGGCTAACGATTACGAGCCACTGTCATAATGATGACTCTCCTTATTCATCTCTATCTCTCTTTCTACTCAAACCGAAATGATTCCTTATCCTCCCGTTTTCATTTCATCCCTGACTTTTATTCAATATTTAAGAAAAAATACGTCACAGTTTATTTATCATTTATTTATCATAGGCTAGGTGATTCTGGCACAATTTACCGACCGAGTCGATAATGTTATCGATAATGTTATCGGCCGCCGTATGCTACCGACAGAGTTATCATCGTGTTATCAGTTATCAATTATACTCCATTATGTCCGGAAGCGAGTAACGGTTATACCTCAATAACAGCCCGGTACCACTTAGGCATCAGGTCGGTAATCGAAAATTGGTAACACGTCGATAACTCTGTCAGTAGCATGTCAACACATGACGGCCAGTATATATACGTTATCAATAATTTCAACTTAGTCGATAAATTATGTTAGGATCCCCATGGCCTATATCTTTTCGTTCTTATCAAATTGCAAATAAAAATATCTTTGTTTTGTGCTACATATTCATATTTTTGTACGGGATTTATTGTAACAAAGTGTGGAAATATCTGAATGATTTTGTTAGATGAATTGGTTTTTGTTTAATACCTAATCTTATTTAACTTATATAACATATTTGTATGTCAAATAATTAATTACACAACAATTGTACTCATTTTTAAAATCATCCAATATTATTGAAGCTGTGAATATCAAATATTATTTCGAAAATTATGTTTCATACCATAAAATTGAAAAACATTTAGAGAAATTTTGTAAGCATATTTAATTATTTTTTCATTTCAACATCACAAAAATCTGTTTACAATCAAATACTTCCAAAGGATAATAAGAAAATAATAAAAACAAAATCATTTTTCATAATCAGACATATGTAAAGTAATAAGACAGCTCATTTTCTTTTTATTTACTATTGTTACTTAGAATACGAAAAGAAGCACCGCTACATATACATCAAAGGTATAATACACTATATGCATTGTGAAAATATATTTCGGACTCCTTAAATTAAATTATTATTTTGCATTATCAAACGATTACCACTTTAAAATTTAACTGGTATGAATATATGAATTTCAGTGTGATTGTATGATTGTCGTATCACAATATCAAGGCACAAATATTAGTGATGTGAATTGTTCTTTTTTATGTACAACTATCTTATAAAAAAATAATAAAATTCACCAGTTATAATTTGAATTGCTAATCGTTAGTGTCTTTATTATTTTTTAACGCAGCATGTATTAAGCCATCAATGTCACAAACGTTCTTCATTTATTTGTATATTTGAAAACAGAATTATTATCTTTATTAATATTCGTTTATTATAATCTTGAGTACATACATTCGTTTGGTGAGCGTAAATTTTATCAATTACTTTTTTTCTTAAAAATCAAATTCATTGAAATTTTTTTAATTCTTTTTTAATCTAATCTTCACAACATTTATTTAACTTCATTTATAAAATTAAAATATGAACTTAAAATTGTAATAAACCCTATAAATATCAAACATAGTTGAAAATAATATAACTATATATGCAATATTTTTTTCTGATTATCTTGAAATGAAATAAGATATTTAATTTTTATATAAATGTAACTATGGAATTTAATCTTCAACTATGGAATACCAGTGATAATTATTTGAAATGGACATACCTTATCATGTTCATAATTAAATAATCTTCAATAATTACATGAACACATGACTCATACGCGCGCATACAATGTTGTTAAGTCAAACTTATAAAAATTACTTAATCAATCAGTTTTCTAGATAAATGTTTAAATTCGAATGATTATATAACTAATTGACCTCTTAATCAATTAATATATATGAATTCATAGATATCTTAATATTATTACACGTCTTATTTAAGCAATCGGCAATTTATAATCTAAAAAACATCTCGTATAATAGAGATACCTTTACAATATCATCACTTAATTTTACAAACTTCATGATTTCCAATGTTGTAAAAGTTTCTTTTACTTTCGTAAAAGTATCACTTGCATAAGTCAGGCAAGAGTCTTTGATTTTCACGTTGTTTCAGACGCTGGTGAATTAAAGCCATCTTTAGTTGACTGCTGATTCGTATCAGACTGTTCTTTCGTCCCATCGTTAGTTAAGTTAGGACTGCAATGTTTTTCTTTAAGATGCTGACTGTAGACTACTCGTGATACGAGGATTTCATGACATACGCGACAAAGGAATTTTTTCCGGTCTACCGGTGGTGTTTGCACCGTTTGTTCAGTATCTGCCTTCATATGACACTGTTTTGTGTGCTCGTTTCGTTCGTCTTGCGTAGGAAATTTCTTGTCGCAGACGAGGCAGGCGAATTCTTGATGTTTCTGCGTTATATGATCCCTAATTAGAAAAGATTTCTTGATTAGTTAAACTTTATTTTATATATTATTTAGATTGTTGACTAGAGAATAAATTCGATTCTTTTTTTTTATATAAGTACAAACCTAAGTGCTGATTCAGAAGCGAAATTGCGTTTGCAGTGTAAACACGGGAAGCGACTGGATTTTTTCTTTTCAGTTATTAAAGGTATTGGGTTTTTATTTTCTATAGATACTTCATGTTCCTCATTAAGGTGATTTTGAAGTGAATCTTTACTGTCAAAACTATCAATACAGAACGAACAGACCAGCATTTTATTAACATGTATATCTATATGAGATATGAGAGTGGCTATTCGCTCGAATTTGACTTTACATAATATACAAGTCAGTTCATTAAGGTCCACGTGAGAAGTTAAATGAGACCTGGAATCGTCAGAAAAATCAGTTGTGTTTAATTCATTAATTTAATGTTTTAAAAAATTTGCTGTTTTTAATTTAATTTATTTTAATTTCAGAATACTAAAAAAACTTACCTCATCTGTTCTGTAGTGTAGAAATTTTCAGAACACAAAACGCACATGAAAGAATGAATATCTTTGTGATTATCTAAGTGTTTAAGTAATAGCTTATGAGAAAAAACCTTTTCTTGACAAACTGGGCAGTAGAAAGACTGCTCATCTGGATTCATGTGCATTGAAATTTTGTGTCTTAACATACTTAAATATGTGTCAAAAGAATCTGAACAAATGGTACATGACTTTGGATTTTTCAGAATGACATGTTTGATCAGATTCTCCATGCGCAACTCATATAGTTTTTTATTACTGCTATCAACTGCAGATTTTGAGATTTCTGTACTTGCCATTGAATTATTTGATGTTTTGAAGCTACGAATCTTTTTATTCAATATGTTGCTATCTATTTTTGTTGAAGGCAAAGTTCTTTCATTTGGTTTTAGTTCTTTTTGAGCTTTTGGATTTTCTGTAACTTCAATATATTGAGTATTTTCATCATCATATTCACTATCCTTGAACATAACTTTCTTTGGTACTTTTGTTAATTGATTGTAGCTATCATCTAGATCCAGCCTTCTTTTAAAACCTTGTTTCAACCATTTCTTATTTCCATCATTTTTATTTGGAAGCTTCTTAGAATCCTCAAAAGTACAACATGATGATGATATATCACTGTCCGTCACATTTGTTTCCTGTAACAAATGAGGAAAAGTATATGGATTAGTGTAATATTTTCTATATCAATAAAATGCTGAAAATTGATTACAAAATATGCACCTCATTTATTTCAGAAAAATTATAATTATATTTGGCTAATTTGTCAATATTTTTGGAACTATTACTTTTGGATTCTGTAGGTAAGACTTCCACTGATTTTACCTTAACTCCACTATGCAAACTACGTTTTTTTTTAGCATTGCGACGTAACCTCTTGGCACCTTCTACTGCTAATCTAGCTTCTTCAGATACATATTCTATGTGATATTCATCTTCACTAGATGATACCGCATCAGAATTATCTTCATCTAAAATACAAATACATATTTACATGTAAAAATTTCTTTTTCATTAAACAATTTACAATTATAATCTTACCTCTACTTGATTCAAATTTTGTAAGACTGAGATCACAAGATCTTGACAATTTATTTGTGTTATTTACTTGATTTTTCAATAACGATTTTTTCAGTTTTACTTCAACCATTTCACATTGATCTTTGAAGCAGTACAGTGAATCCACCAAGAATACACATTTTTTACATATCATTTGGGGTAGATCATCATCTTTTGAAACCTATAAAAAAACAAATTTTTTATATTTAAGCAAACATTAAAATGCAATGTCTCTTTTAATAAATTTAATAAAAGAATATTTAATAATAATAGAAGTATCCTCAGCTTGATTGAATTCACCATGAATGGTAATAAAAAATGGTTTTGATTGCTAAAATATCAAGAGGGACACATACAATGAAAAGTTATATTCAAGCAAAATTTTATTGTTAAAATATATAGCGTCATTAAAATCAATTATTTAGTCAACACTAGCAAATAAACAGCATAGTTTTTAAGTAATAAAATTACAATAAAAAAATGACTAACCTCAATTTTGATGATATGCTTGAGTTTGTCGGGTAAATTGTGCACATAGTAATTGTTTGTAAAAATGGGCACGAGCTCACCGTGAGTGGCCATGCACGTTCGGCAAATTTGTTGCATTTTTCCTCTATCTTTCATCAATTCTCAACAAATAAGAATAAAGAGCAAATACTGTTAGTGAACGCCGTGAATACCTCCATCAAAACAACTGTGAATTGCAAATGATAAAAGATGCGCACCTTTTGGCGCCTGTGCGGCGCGCGCGTTATGCAAGATTATATTAATTAATTAACTTATAAGAAATTACACTTGTAATCTACGGCTAATCAGCTATTAATTTAAAACTTATAGAAAAATTGCGTTTCTACTAAAAAAAATTGTAACAATTTTATTTTAATTAGGTGGCAACGAAAGCAATAAAATCGTTAATGAGACTAACCTTGTACTTATCTCTGGAATCTAAAATTTAGAGACACTATAGTTTGACTATTGTTTATGTCTAATTGTATAAATTCATTTGCTGAATCTGCTCTAGCTCAGACTCTCTGAAGTGAGCTATATATCTATATATATATTTCCTATATACGGCAGCCATCAACGCTTGAGACTTGTGCATCTGACGCCCAAAAAAATTTTTTAATCATATTTTTGAGTTTTCATGAGCTAAAACGTTTTCTCCCTTTTTCCGGATTATGTCTCCGCTTGAAATTTTATTTCCGGATTTTCCGTTTTTAAGAAAATTGCGAAAAAAAATCGGGTGTTCGTACAGCGCGCAAAATGCATTAAACATTTTTCTCCTGTTTAAAAAGAAATAATATCGGTAGCGGATGATAGCTCCTTATTCCCGGATTACGAAACAATTTTCCTTTTGTCGATTTTCTATCCAAAATTGAGGAAAATGTAAAAATTAGTAATATGCGGCAGTTAGTCGATAAAACAGGTCAAACATTTGTTAATCACCAGATAGATATCCCTATATGAGTTCTATATGGCAGCACTGCACTGTACGCACTGTACGTACTGTAGAACGCTTGACAATCGACGCTTTGTGAGTTGAAGTATTTGCATGATCAAAAAACATGATTCAGATCTTCTACATCTGAACTACATTGACAAAATGGATTCAGTTAACTATTTTCTATGTAAACTATATGTTAAATTGTAATGATTACTTCTTATTCTCATGATTGGGATAGTTTTAGTTTGACGAAGAGATAAAGCGTATAAAATCAAATTTTGGATGATTCTAAATAGTTGTTCTATGAAAATGAAAACGAACACCCTTATAACCAATGATATTTATTACCAATCCTTTATGATTAGGAATCCAGACGTAATTTTTTGGTTGCTTGAAAGTAATTCTAAAAGTCTAAATTTATAAACGGATATATGTGTAAGAATTTAAGTATGATTGTTGGAAGGAGCTAGCAGTACACTAAAAAGTCTGCGAAAATAATAACTTATCTACTTTATTAAGAAAAATAAATTCTAAAGTCACTTGTACAGTCAAGGCTTCAGCAGAAAATATAGAGGTGTATGAATCGAAAATTGTCTCAAATGTCTGAATTGTTTAATTACTGTAAAAGCCAAAAAATTGAAAATGGCGCGTGTATAGAACGCACTCACATCGCACGTATTAGGTTTATATATAGCATCTGTGGATGGAGTGCAGCAATAGCACGTGTTGACTGTTGGGACTGTTGCAAATTTTGGAAGCGGTTTTGTAAATTTTAGAATTATGAACTTTTGAGATGTAATTTATTGATTAAATATTAAATACAAAAATATTAGATATTACTGAGGTATGTTCTATTATTTTACATCCTTAATTTTCGTAATTTATTTATATATTTATTTATAAGTATAGCTATTATTATTATTTCTTACAGTGATAATTGTTATTTTTTCTAGACATTTTTTTTATAAACTTGAATACTACAAGAAAAATGATTTTAGATAGATTTAGTAGGATATCAAAGTTGGCTGGACAACTTACTGCTCAAAAATTAGACTTACTTTTAAAGACAACTTCGTTTTCTCATAAAATTTATAAACCATGTTACTTTTACAATAAACCAGTGGCTAGTAACTTCTGTACTCAAAGAAGATATTTAAGTACTTTCAGTGATGTAAAATATATAAATGCAGAAGAAAAAGTTTTAGTAAAAGATAATGTATATACAGAACAACAACTTGTAGGCTCACAATTATTAGAAAGTTCTGAAGCTTATAGTAATTCTGTACCAAAGCCTATGAAATTTAATGAAAGTTTAGTAGTTGACAACTTAGAAGAATTACTAAGCCAATCATGGATCAGTATGAGCAATTCTGACATTATTGATAATTTTGAACGCCTTTCGCATTATGCTTTCAAACACAAAGAAACAATTGAAGATGAAAAGTTTCATGGTGTTTTAGAAGTACTGAAAAGTCAGTTCATAAATTTTAGTGATAGTGATATACGTCATGTGTTCAAATGCTTACAATTGTGGAATATCGACAAAACAGGATCTGTTTTTACTGATCTTTGGAAGACTTTTGAAATAGAGATAATAAAAAGATATTCAAATTGGACAATTGATGAAATACTTTTTACAAGCCATTTGTACTACAAATTGAAAATATCAAGAGGTTCTGAATACACTTGGCATAGTTTGAAAAAAATTGCTAGAAAACCTCAGAACATGCATTATACACAATTAATACATCTCACATTTTTAATGAAAATGAACCGTAAACTTCCACTAAATATGTACAATATTGAGTATTATGTAGAGCAGCAAGTAGACAAATTAACACTAAATGAATTAGGAATATTTGCATTAACTTTTTCTCAATATGATACTCCTATAAGGAGTTCAAACTTTATACAAAAATTTCTAGATAAATTAATTGCTGAAGTAGATACTGTTAATGAAATATATTTAACCAGCTTATTGAATATTATACGGTAAAGTTATTTATTTAAATTTCAAATATCTTAAATTTTACTGCAATTATTATTCTATTTAAATATTTGTTTGTTTAGCATTAATCCAGTAATCAGTGACAAATATATGATGTTATTACAAGAATTAGAAAGAAATTTTTCACGTTGGTCAATATATACTTTGACTGCTATTGCTAATGCACAAACAAAAACGTTAATGCATAGTGAGACTTTGATGTCTAAGATTTTAGAAAGGTATAAGGACTATTTATTTTTCATTTTTTCTAAGGTATACATGTGTTATAAATTGTGTATATTTCATTTATGTATCATCACTTGATTGTTTTGAAATATGATTTAGATTTGAAACAGAAATCAAAAACTTAAAAATTAAACAAATGGGCCAACTAATGTTGACATTATTGATATTAGGTTATAATGGCAAAACAACACCATTTGTTTCTATGGTAATACATGAATTACTAGAACCCAACAGAGTCGATGAAATTGAAAAGTAAATAATTCCTTTCAATGTTATTCTTTTTATCAGTTTTAGTTAATCAAACAAAATTTAATTTGATATGTTTTTGTAGGTTTTCAAAAGTATTTATAGAGATTATTCATTTTGCTTTATTAATGAATTTTTTTTCAAAGGATACCGAAAAATTGTGTAGAAAAATATTTGATCCTAAATTTATTGAAAACTTCAGCAAAAATGACTATTATAATCTAAATTATGAATATCTTCAAATGAGTTATTGTTTAGAATTTGATCATCCAGAATATAATGGTCCTAAATTAGATGAAGGAGTGGTGGACTTCCTTTGCAAAGTAAGTTTTTTGTTAATCAAAGATGTAGTGTATTATAATTCTTAATATTAATACTCTCAGGCATTTGGATCTAACAAAAGTGAAAATAATTTAAGAAGACCAGAAAATAAGACATTAGATGGCATGCTTCTGAGTAGTATAGAGAAAATTTGTAAGGTATGCTATTAATTTTTATATTTAAATACTAAAAGTAGTTATTATTTTACATATTTTATACCTAAATAATATCTTTTTTCACTTTTAGAGAGCATTAAAATCGGAATATGGATTTTATCGCAAAGCAGTTTTACCACACTTTGCTAAAGCATTTGGCATAATTTGCTACGATCCAGAAACCAAAGAATACGGTTCACCAAAAGAAAAGCTGTCTCAAATACCATGGAATTTACCAAAGTATGCGCCAGCTGACGGTAAAGAATGGTTTGCCCTGATTATGGGTTCTAAACATCAGGTTATTAATAATTCTCGTAAACCAGTCGGCAAAGTATTAGTACAGATAAGACATCTCGAAAAAATCGGATATAAACCGATTTTCGTAAGTTCTGATTATAAATTTTAAATCATTCAGAGTAATGTAATACCTATAATAAATTAATATTATTTTCCAGATACCGCATTATGAATGGGACAATTTGTCTAATAACAGTGAAAAAGAAAAATATATTTTAGATAATTTACACAAATAAAATTCACATTTTCATAACAAAGTTAGTCTAATGACACTTTTGACAGATATTTAGTTTTTTATATTTTCATTTGTTTTCAAGTTATTTTTTGAAAAAATGGATATATCACGTTAATCAGTGTTCTTTGTATCATACAACAATCACATAAAATAAAGTAGCCTTTAGTTATCGTTATTTCATTCGATTATTTACATTATTTATAAAATTCTGAACATAAAAAATATATTTATATTTGTATTGTTTCAAGCTATGATCAGTGAAGAATGATATTATTGTAATCTTAAATCTATTACATCGAATGTTTGTGGAGGTATATCACATACACAAAATGCATACCGGAAAAAATCTTTCGTCACAAATGAAATTGAATAAAGAATAACAATGAATTCACTACTTTATATAGACAGGACAAGTGTTAATCCATTACTTGGTGTATGAACTTTTTCACATATTCGTAGGTAAGAAACAGAGTAGCCGTTGCCGGCACTGTCCTAATTAGTGTAGGTTTTAGGCCATTGTACAGGGCACTTACTCCTTCTTTTTTTACAATCTCTTTGGCGATTACTATGGCAGGCGTCCTTAAATTTTGAACCTACAAAAAAAATTTATTATATGCAATTTAAACAATCTGTTCTATTCATTTGAAGAATACCGAAGGAATAATATCTCATTATAAAAACGGCACTGATAATTACTTGGATACGACTCTTAACAACGTCAGCAGGGAAAATAACAAGCCAGAGTATACTACCACCGACTGCTCCAGCAACCATTGTCTTTTGCCAACCAATTTCGTCTCTACTTTGACCAGGTTTAGCTAACAGTTCTCTTGTTAATTCGTATCCCCCAAAAAAAAAGAAATATCCAGGCATTTCACGAGCTATCGTCGATGTTAGTCCTCTGAATAAACCGGGAATACCAGATTCTTTTAAGATTTGTCTTGTCAATGTCCAGGGACCAATAAATTCCTCAAATTATAAGGTATTTTTTATGAAATTATTTATTTCAAATGATTTACTATATCCAAAAGCTAGAAAATTTTATTACCACTTTGGCTCCTTTAGCTATTTGTTGATTTTGTACTTCTCTCATGGCTTGCAGTTTACATTTTATCAATTCAGTTGGACACAAGGTGAGAGATGAAAAAAATGCTGCAAAAAATCCAGCCCAAGCATTTCCAATTGAACTCAAGTCTTCCACTTTCGAAACACCTATTGAATTTCATAAAATTGATTTTAATGTTCAGTATATAATGAATTTTGATAAAAAGTCAATTACCAACAGCACTAGCCACAACTTTTTGACAGCCACCATAAGCTGCAAATAATATTGAATTTTCAGCCACATTTGCCACCACAGATGGCACTGTTCCCGCATACAACCCTCTTGCTACTCCATCTGTTTTTAATGTTTTCATGAAACAATCTACCATCCCCCTGTATAAAATTGGAAAAGTCTGCATCTTTACTTTAACTGTGTCTAATGGTTGACCAACATAAACTAGTGCCACTCCTCCTAAAATTTAATTTCATTTAACATGTACCTTTAAATTCCTAACATTTTAGATTATACAAATGTTAAATAATCCCTAATGGTTGTTAATAAATTATTTGGATTTGATAAATTGGGTGTGTAGGCAATAGAACATGGTTTTATTATACATGCAAATTATTATGTACAGTAATATAGCATAAAAATTGATACATACTGATTCATGCCATATTACTATGCATAATAGTTTGTATGTATAATAAAACTGCACAATTGTCCACACACCATGAACAATTACACAATGTTGATGACTTAAGTACAATCAGTTCACAAATAAACAATTAGACAGCTCAGATAACGTCATAATTTATGAAAGCACTCAATTTAATTAATCGAATATTTGAAATTTATTATATTACCTCGAAAACTTATACTCTTGATTGTTAAGCCATAAAATTATTAATACTACTAATAATATAAAATATATAATTTTATAGCTAAGTTATTCATAGAGTATACTAATATTTGTATAATCTACTTTAAGTAATTGATATCTTATCACAAACTGCATTTAATTAACAATATAACCACTTTTATTTGTGAAAAAATGAATTGAGAAATAAAGAATAATATAAAATTCATAAAAATAAAATATAGCTCTTAGTATAATATAAATCAGTAAAAATTTTAAGAATCTTTTTAAAATAGCAATCCATTAAAAATATAGATCAATTTATTTGTAGGTAAATCTTTTTTCTTCATAATTAAATAAATTCAATAACTATTGAAAAGAAAGTTTTTTAAATAAATGATACAAATATTTGAAAATATATGTGATACTTATTTTGAATGAATTTTGAAATATTGCACAGAATTTTTATATTAATGAATAGCTAATTGTATGTTAAAAACTAAAAAAAGTCAATTGACAAACCTAAAAAAAGGTGAAAGTACTTACCTAATGATCCAGCAACAAAATCAATAACTCCATCCTTTAAATTTTTCATTCTTTCTGTATCCATAGTTTGTACTCTACTGTTCTGCACATTATCGAGAGATGACATTTTCAAATTTCAATTAGAAACAACTTCTTTAGCAACAGAACTACAGCTGATGCTTCGTCCGCAAACGCACGTGTTATATGATATATATATATATATATGTATGTAAGACGAGTCACGACTGAAGAGCAGCCGAAAAATCCTATCCATAAAGTAAAGACTGTAGAGCTTGCAGCTAGCGTGCGACGACTTCGAAAATCTAGGCGTATATACATGCGGTTTGTTTCACTCTCTGCGATAAGATTCTCGGCCTCCTACTAAATTATCAACAAAATTTCTGAATGTTTGCGTATCCCGATATTCACTGATATTGCTTATTCGAATTGAGTTATTACACGTAATAAAAGACGTGGATGATGCTGCGATAATATTTGTTAGCATGCTGAGTTTAAAATCCGATTATCAGGAATTTCGACATTCAGAGAGATAAAGAACATTGTCGTTACGTATCTACTGCTAAATTTAAAACCTCATGCTTGCTCTTGATGTATCGTTTTTACTGCTAGCGTCTGAAATATTTTTGTCGACGATGTTAAAAACTGGAGTAATGAAGTATATGTTTAAAAATTATTATTAATCAATCGATGGAAATATGTGTAGCATGTAGTAATAATTCGTAGACGTTTTCAACCGATTCACTAGAGATTACATAATTTAAATTTTTATCGCAATCAATGGTAAAATTCTTTACATAACATTTTGCTAGTTTAATTAATTTCTTATCAATTGTTTACAAGGCACTCTGCCCACTCCACTAGCGTAGTGTCATATGTTCACCTATATAAACATCGACATTCGGCACTCTATACATACTGCTGTAGTTAAGGGCGCATGCGTTACTGTGTTATCAAAATAGAATGATGCCGAATATCAACAATCAGCAGAAGTTTATACATATTTGATTTGAGAATGATGAAAACAATACGAAAACAAAGAAGAGGTAAATAAAAATATACACGAACAACAATAAGAATAAAAGTTGATTTTATAAAAATCATTTAAAATGGTCGTTTTTTGCAATAGATTTCTCTAGTATTTTGATGAAAAATTACACAGGAATCATACTGGAAGTATACGAAATCATTCTTAGTGTTAAAGATAGCAAATAACCTTGATGAAATAGAAAGTTATAGTGTATTTTGCAAACAATAGATTATAGTATTCCTGTAATAGAATCTAAATTAGATCCTAGCAACATGGAGGAAAATTTATTGTGGACTAATCCTGAATTTATACCAGCCGATAGTTTTGTGGCCCCTGATGGTACAGTAATAAATGCAGAAGAATTTGATCAACAGTTTGCAGGAGCTGAGTTCAGAGAAACAAGAACTGAGCTGACAGATGGATCAGGAAATGGTTTTGGAGTTTCAACTGTAAATTTTGATACAATCGAAGAAATCGTCTGGACTGGAAATGAAGGTGGTCATGTAACATCTTACTATGGGCCAATATTACAAAAGTACACTTCATTCCAAGTCTGCTCAAAGCAAGAAGTCAGACAAATTCGTTCTCTGGACAATGGTATCTTTACATTGACTCCAAATTCATTGAGATTCCAAAATCGTAAAGGCTTGCATATTTATACTCATACATCAGAAAACATGATTGAGATGCAATGTTTGCTGTCACATACACCAACAAGTATACTGATGGGTGGACACCAAGAGAGATTGATAGACTTTGATTTAAATACCAGCAAGGAAAAGCGTTTGATTGATGTTGGTGAAAATGGTTGTGCTATGCTAAGACAACATAGCAGATACATTTGTGCAGGAAATGCATTCGGAAAAATAGAATTCAAGGATCCTGTGTCTCTGAAAACAGAACATTCTTTGGAAACACATAATGGCTCATTGAGTGACTTTGATGTTCAAGGAAATTATATGATAACATGTGGATTCAGCAACAGCAGACAAGGTCTTACAGTTGACAGATTTCTTATGGTTTATGATTTGAGACAAATGAAAGCAATAAATCCACTACAAACTGTGGCATATCCTTTCTTACTTAAATTCTTGCCAAGCTATTCAGCTAGAGTTGTTGTGGTTTCACCACTAGGACAAATGCAAGTTCTGGATACAATTTATGCCAATGTTCAGTCATCACTGAACCTATACCAAGTAGCAACTGGTGGAGCAATGATATCGTCATTGGATATTTCCACAACATCGCAATGCCTCTGTTTTGGAGATTCTGTAGGCTCCATTCATCTTATGTCATCAAATGTAGCAGAACCACAGTTCAATACATTCTCAAGACCTACAGAATTCTTTGAAATTTCTGAAATGATTCAATCTATTGATATTGATGATGTTCAGGCACCTCTCAGTATTATACCAATGACTTACAACGTAAATTCTTTATTGAGTGAATGGCCAGAAGAATTAACGAAGAAGGTACATCATAAAACACCTGTCATAGATGAAGAGATTATCAATACCATGAAAATGCAGGGATCTATTGGCTATGCTCCAAATCCTAAGCCACATCACAGGAAGAAACAAATACTTTCTCCATAAGAATGCCAGTATTAAAGACCATTACAAATTTATTGCATTGTAAAGAGTGTATTCATACATTTTTATATATACCAATAAGTTTATTTCTATGCACATATTCTTAATTAACATAAGGGAATCATTTTTTTATTGAAATTTCTTGATGAATACTAATGAACTATTCATTATATTATCACTGTGTGATTCAAATGCTATTTTTGAATTTCAATAAATAATTAAAATAATTTTCCCTCACACTAATTTAGATATATCGGTTTAAAAAAAAGTCCTTCAGTATTTTGTACTTTTCCCATTGAAATGTGATTGATTGTTTCGATCCTGCATCTAGCGATCTTTCGACTTAATTGCTATACTAAGGACTATCACCCTGATAAAAAATCGAAGTTCAGAAAGCCTCGTTTGACACTCGGAAATTTTTGAAAAAAACTGCTAAGGATAGCCCCATAGTAACTATGGAAACGCTTTTGCCGTTAGGGTGTTGAATTGGAAGAATATATGGTGATTTCGTAATTTCTCTTGTCGAGGTTGTGTATAGAGAAAAAAATATATTACAGACAACACCCGGGTGGAGAAAGAGATACATTAAAGGTGGCTCGGTGGTGAAATTGCGCGCGCACAAAAAGAGAGAGAGGAAGCGAGTTCAACACACTGCATAGAGCTCGTGTATTAGCACACACACCGTGATAGAGAGAGAGAGAGAGAGAAAGAAAGAGAGAGACCGTAGGTGGCGAGACGCCACAGAGAGAAGAGAGGCATATAACACGAAGCCAGTCGTTTGGAATGGACGTGTGAGGGGCAGCAGCCTAGGTGCACCGCAGTCCTGCAGCGAGACAGAGAGAGACTGTAACAGGAGAAAAGATACCCATGACGTCCGCCCGACGGTGTGTATCATCTCCGCGTCTCTTCTGTGTGATCGCGATCAACGTCACCGAGCACGGCAACCGTTAAAGTCAGGGGACATATCCTTGAGGTTAGATAGACATTCCACTGGGTACGCGTGCACAGTGCGGAGAGAGAGACTGAAAGACAGAGGCGAAAAAGTGCGATCATCAACATTCGCTCAATTTTTTCTTCGTCGCTCGCGCAAGCGATTGACTGACATCCTTGGGCCGCGTCGACTTGTGCTTGCATTTCCAAGTATTATCGCGTCAACGGGAACGCATAAAGAAGGGCATCATCCACATCCACACAAGACAACCGTGAGCGCCTCCTCTTGTTCTTCTCCTCCCTCTCCCCCTCTCTCGCCACCCGTTCTTTCCACTGTGTGTAATAGGGGCTACTCTAGCTTTGCTGGCTGCTGCCATGATAGATCGCGTGTGTGGTGCAGCAGCAGCAGCAAAGACTAAGCCCCGGAGCAGCAGCGCGAGTGTATGCTGCCGTGGCTGGCTATACCGCTTCGGCCATTTCGTCGTCATTGTGTAAAGGGAGAGAAAACGTACGAACTAGCGAGTGGCGACTTGACTGCTGGAGCTGCCGCGAACTAATCCTCGTCGTCTTCGTTGAGCAGGACACGATCAAATTAATAATTTGCTACTGCTGGTGTTGTTCACAGTAAGGGTACGAGTCGCAGAATGGTGGTCGACTGTCTGTCCACACAGGGCTCCGGGCCTCGGAGGCAACCCGACAAGAGGCTTGGTGGTACCGTCAGCACCAACTCGAAAATGCAGCCGAACCTCACCCAAGCCGGTGGTATGACGCCCAAAGAGCTTTGCGATAACGACGACCTCGCCACCTCGCTCGTTCTCGACACCTATCTTGGCTTCACCACACACAAAATGAACATTAGGTATACTACTGCTATTTACCGACATTTTACTCTGTTTACTCTGATGGATATTTGAAATGAAGAAATAACGTTTGCAGGTACAGACCTCTAAAGGCAAACAAGGATGAGTTGAAAAAGGTGATTAATGAGTTTATTCAGACGCAAAACTATGAGAAAGCGTACAAGAAGCTCATCAATGGGGACTGGGGAGCTCGTTTGCCACATACTAAGTCTAAACAGCAACAGATCAATTTAGAAAAACACGTAAGAAGAACTATATTGTATTTTCTTTTCATTTTTGAGCAATATTGTGATTAATTGTTGTATTTTCAGATCTATCGATACCTCAGGGTGTTTGATAAAAATTCTGGGTTTGAAATAAAACCTTGTTATAGGTATTCCCTTGAAGGTCAAAAGGGAGCTAAAATATGCGCAACCAAAAAGTGGTTAAAAAACGATAAAATTTCTTGCCTTGTAGGATGCATTGCAGAATTAAGTGATAAGGTATATGTTGGATTGCTCTGGTCATTTGACAGTTTTACTAACCTCAAAAGTGTGACCTTCTGTTACTAATTATTAACTTTGAAAATTTTCAGGAAGAAGCTGCTCTCTTACATCCAGGCAAAAATGACTTTTCTGTAATGTTCAGTTGTAGAAAAAATTGTGCTCAACTATGGTTGGGTCCAGCAGCGTATATCAATCATGATTGTAGAGCTAACTGCAAGGTGCCTATTTTTTTATAATTCATTAAAACATTTTATAGAGCAGAGATATATCAAATAATTTACGATTCTAGTTTGTTGCTACTGGTCGAGATACTGCTTGTGTTAAAGTTTTGCGTGATATTGAAGTAGGAGAAGAAATTACTTGCTTTTACGGAGAAGATTTTTTTGGAGATAGTAACTGTTACTGCGAATGTGAAACTTGCGAGAGACGTGGCACTGGAGCATTTGCTAATCAAAAGCCTGGTGAAGAATTAGAATCAGGTTTATATTTTTATTCAAATCAGTAAGTTATGTTGTAATTACTAACAAATTAGAAATATTCTTTTCTTTGCTACAAATTTAGGTTATCGCTTGCGAGAGACAGATAACCGCATAAATCGAACAAAACATAGGCAGCAACCGCTGGGTGTGAATAAACAGCAAGAAAGTACTCTTACTGAAAGGAATGGTGAAATGAATAACATTGCAATTGCTCCACAGTCACTTAGTATGAAAGAGATGAGGCGGAAAGGCCTTACTAAATACGATGCTGAGCTTTTGATTGCTCAGGGTTGTAAATTTTCGGACATTTCTCAGCAACCAGCCTTGGCAAGCAATGAAGAGAATGCATCACAGGATCCTCAAAGTGTGCCAGGTTCAGCTTCACGGACGCTCAGAAATAAAAATCAAGCAAATAAGACTGAAAGTAATAATAATTCTAATCATAATGATAATAACCGCAACAACTTGAAACGTTGTCTAAGGGCTTCCAAGTAAGCAAAACAAATATATAATAATAAAAAGTCAACAATATCTCATTAAATACTTTTATGAAATCTTTTATTAAATATTCTAATAAATGTTTATATGTAATTTAATTATAGACATCAAAAGGCAGAAGCCAAGAGAGGTAGAAGTGAAAATAATCGCATACATCACGGTGCAATCCATGTTCGTCACAGAAAAGAAGACTCTGATAGAGGAGAAAGTGATGAAAACTGTGTGTATTCAACTTTACATAAACACAATAATCAAGAAACGTCCAAAAAAGATATAGTTATTGGTTGTCATGATCGAGGTCTTCATTCAACAACATCACAAAATAGTTTAGATGAAGAATGTTCAACAAGGCTTTCAGAAAATGAACAATCAAAACCTGAAAATGACAGCCATATGTTTTCAACTTATGGAAACGATCATCATAGTACAAATTCTATTAGCCCAAGTCATCCTAACCTTACATCTCATTCAAAGTTCCACAATGTGTCAGATATTAGCCCATCGGACAAATCCATTCCAAATCAGTGGCTGAAAAATGGATTGAAGAATTATCAGTGTTCCACAAATTCTGATATCAAATGGAATAGTGAAAGTGAAAAAAGTGAAGTGAATGTACACAACGTTGAAGGTTCAGCAAAAGTTTGTGATCGATCTTTCATAAATGATAAAATCATGTATCATAAACAAAGTGAAAATGTGTCCTATGATGTCAGTTGTAGAAAATCTCCTATTCATGGTAAAGCCCCTAAAAACTCTCCATTTCATGAAACAAATGAGTTTCATCAACTTGATTCTATAGAAGGTTCAGCTGGAGAAGCTCTAGAAACAAATGTAAATATGGATTATAAACAATCACAAGCAACCTCAATACATCATTCAAAGTATCCTAGTGACATTAAAGATTGTGCACAAATTGTGACCGAACAGGATAACAATTTTTTCTCTAAAAATAAAGTGAATGGTGTGATTGCAAAAGATTCAAATGAAATAAGTGATACGTTCACACCAAATATAGAGTGTTCAGAGAAATTTTTGTCTGCAAAGTCTGAAGATGCGCGTAGTTTGACACTAAAAAGATGTACTGAAGCACTGTTACATCCTGGCAAAAATCTTGCCAGAAGACCAACTGGTCGTTCGAGAACAAAATTTAAGAAAATCAATGCTCGCAGTTTTCTTAATCGTAGTAATATTAGGCAGACAAGAAGCCAGAAAAAGGAATGTGCAATGCCTGTTGGAGCAGCTGATGATGATTCAGGTATCCAAGGAGACATTTATGAGTTCAGTGAAAAAGAAAGCAATCTTGAACAAATATCCTTACCAAACCGTGTTCCCCATCTAAGAGATAAATACGAACCAAAAGAAAATACAACCAACTCTGTAATGCATCTTGATCCTTGGAATGGCTGTGACAACATCCCATCTAGAGATAATTCTGTTAGCAGTGAAGGCAAACATAATGAGTAAGTTAACTATTTCAATTTGTTACATTTATTCAACATGTCTCGATTTTGCTCATTATAAGCTTTTACTTCAAATTTAATTATCTAATCATTTCATCATTAATTTACATTATAGCATCAGTAGTAATAGCAGTTTTAGTAGCAGAACAAGTGGCGTCGGCAGTGAACAATCTCACGAGTCGGCTTCAACATGGCAACCAGTTCAACAACCACGGCCAGTTTATCCGGCGACACCGGAACGTCCAGGGGGTCGACTAAAGTTGACACTTCGAGTTAAACGTTCGCCAATTTTGGATGAATTAATAGAGTCTGGAACAAGTTTGGCAAGCGAAGACAATGAAGTACCGGAGTACGAAGTGCTGCGAGTGGAAGGTGTTGGTGAGGAAGAGACTCAAACTTCGAGGCCACGCAAGAAACATAAAACACGCGACCGTGAAAGGCGACACAAGAAGCGTAAAGAGATCGCACCACCTGCTACTATGAAACGGCTCAGGCTCATCTTCGGCAATGAGACTCGCACTATTGACCTCACGCACTCCTAACGCTTGGACGAGGCTGAGCGGCGACTGTTGAATCGTTGCTTTCAATCCATTTTTTGTTGAAACTATCACGTTTTTTCTTGCGGTGCAATATTATGATTTAGCCGTTTCTTTTTCAACGATAAACGTTTTTTAATTGGTTCAACAGAGAATGGGTTGAAATAACTTGTTGATCAACTTTTTTACTATTAGGTTTATGTTATTAGTAGAACATAACAATGTGAGTCGACCCGTTATAAATGATTCTTTCAGAGACTGATCGATTCATTGATAAGGCTTTCTTTCTTTTTTTACTTGCTATAAAATTGTGTAATTTTAACAATTTGAACTGAATTTACTTTGCAGTATGTGACGAGTTCGAAGAACGATTTTCTTTTGTATATTCAAAAAATAACATTTTGTAAATACGGAATTAAGATTTTTTTTTTGTATAAAGAGTAACCCACACAATCATGGTTAAAGTTTCTTTTAATCTATAAACAATATTTGTATTCTTTTCATCAGTGTCAACGAAAATTCTAATGATTTTTCAGTAATCTTTAAAATTGAATTTGATTAGACATAGTATATTTGTAAATTAGAGATGTTATTAAAATTATTTCAATATCGACTAAAAATATTATTCGACTGCTAATCGCTTACGATGGTTAACATCGCAATGAATTTTACGTAATTTATATTGTTACTTTTGCTCTCCACATTACGAGAACAGAAGTTCTTATATAATATGTTGTCGTTTAGCTAAGTAAATTAGAGAAAACAAAATTAATTTCAAAAAATTATGTGCCATCATTGAAAAATGTGATGTTACTAATATTCATTAGACAATTTTTATTTCGATGATTGGAAATTAAAATTAATTTTTAGTCAAACTTATAAATATTATTGGTAAAGTATAATTGGCTCAAATAGATACAATTTGAAAATATATAAATCATTTTTGAGTATAAAAAAATAAAACAATATAATGTACTACCAAAATTAACGCTATAGAGATATTATCACAACTTATATGTCAAAATTATTACTATAATATACAAAATTCTTTTGTTTTTATAATGATCGAATCGGTAATATATTTAATGGATCAAGTGTAACTTGTTGTTCAACTCTAAAATTTACAAAATAGCAACGTCGACTCCGTTTTCTACTATTAAAGTTTTTGCTGAAAATCATAAAATTTTCCAATACATTATGGGATAATGGTTATGCATTTTGCTACTATAAACATTTTTCTCGAATTATAAATATGCAGTAAGTTTCATTAACTCGTCATAGCATTCAGTTGAAGGCAGGTGATATGCAAAGTAATAAAACATACATTAGCGCATCGGTAATTATTACGTAAAAGAACATGTATTATAAGATAATAGTAACACTTACACATAAACGTATAAATAAAACACAAAATAAAGCAGTTTCACGATACATTTTAAGCATTGTAATTTGTAATATACGGATAGATATAATAATAGGTATAAATAATAAACAATTAAAAGTAAACGGCAAGTAATTACAATCGCCTCTCATAAGAAACAAAAAAGTTTGTGATATATATATATATATATACATATATATATATAAAGTAATATCTATTCTACGTTCTATTGTATTTCACTTGTAAACGACTAATGTGTAAAAACTGTGGTGTTTTTACGAAAAAGGTAAAAAAATAAAGAACATCATCTCTAAATTTCTAGAGAAAGATATTATGTTATAATTATAGAAAGTGAAAGTTCTGGAAAACAATGTGTGTTTATGAGTTTATGGCGGCTTTACCGCTAAATGTTATTTTCAGTTGTATGAAAAAATACAAAAAAATATAGTAGATAGACCTAATAAAAGACATATTTGTGGGAGAATGCATGTTCTGTCCTTAATTATGCTGGAATAAAAACTATGTTTGGTGGCATTATCATTTTATAGGACTTTTAAAACGAGCATATTACTTTGATTTTGCAGTAACTTTACACACTTAGCGTAGAAAGCTGCATGCCGCCGATTCTTTTTATAACTTGGTTTCGAAGTGAATATTGCATATTTTATTACAGCATTAAAGATCGAATTCTAAATAGTAGCTTTAATTAATACAAAATGATATACATAGATTGAAATACAGTTTTGTTGTTAATAACGCTTTGTAAATTTGAACCATATGCTTGGATTTTACTGTAGCATTGAATAATAATAGAGTTCTTATTTTTTTCGAAGCATAATACTCCGTAGTTTATTTCTTTTCTAGTTTTCTACTTTTTGATCTATTAATGTTTACAGGTTTAAGCCCATATTTTTCGATTTCTTAATAAATAAGTTATGAAATAAAATTTTATTTTTTAAATTTTATTTTTTAAATTTTATTTTAACAGAATTATATCCAAATCTGCAACGATTATACTTTATTATTCAAAATTACTTCGTATGAAGTTGAATTAAAATTTCGAATTGCAAATTTGTGTAACCACAAAAAAGATGTGAAAAAACTTATTTCAATATTCGCTTCAAACCTTTTTGTAGTGATTTCATTGTTCTGAAGAGTGATCATAAATGATATAGTATCCATAGAAGCACCATAGTTCCATTATTTTTTATTTACTTACGAACAATTCTGATGTAATCAATCCATTTTGAGAAAAATTAATGAACATACAAGTCGCCAAATGAAATTGTCGTTCCCGATGAATTTTCCTCACTGCCACTATTAATTAAAGAATGATTGCCTGATTGAAAGCAGTAGTACATTTTGCAAGAGAACGAAGCGGAAAGTCATTTTTGAGGATGAACTTACACCGCTAAAGTAGTAATTTCGCAAAGTAATAATTGATTCAGAACCTGAATTACGTGTATAACTTTTTTCCAATTGAATTGTAGCGACTTGATTAATTTGAAAAGTGAAGTCTATATAGTTTATGCTGTATAAAAATGCCAAACGTAAACTTTTCATTTGAAAAATTGGATATTGCAGTTCAATTGGAAATGAAAATTCGTTTAGCGTGATTAAATTATTTTAATAAAAAAAGCTGTACATTATAAAAGTAATGATTGCAATAGGCATGCACTTTTGCACTGCATGTACAATCATACAGTGTAACTGAATTTCGACATCTTTTAATTTGTATAAATATTCTTTTTCTTTACAAAAATTACGAATGTGCAAAATTTTTAGGAAATCGCAGCATTGAAACACTTAAAAGTTCGTAGGAATAGAAGTTTTAATTTTGGATTTTATTTCCACGTGCATTCTTAATTACGTCGTATGATACAACATGATTTTATATTTAATCCAGTAACTTACAAAAAGAATGTTATGATAATTATTTTTTATGAGTTATTAGAATATTGAAATAAATGAATTCAATATAAACAATTTAATTTTTATTAACATGCCTTTTTCTTATGTACTCGATGATTCATTTCGTTCTTACATTTTTAATTTAAAAAAACATTTATTTTAATAAATATTAGTCAACCATGCAACAAACTATTCGAGCAAATATTGAATTTTCGTGCGAACGAAAAGTGCAAAGGCATCAGGTAGGTATAAATTTATATGCATGAAAAACGGCGGTATAAATTTATCGTGGACGTGGACGACTGACAAGATTTCGGTTTTACTCTTCAGAAATTTTTCCAACTTAAAAAAGATTAAACACTTTTTCGCAATGGTCCAATGTTTGAATAACTAATTATTTTAATTATTTATTTAATTTAAAATATTGATTTTATTATAAAAATATGAATTTAAAATTTTGAGTTTTGAATTTTCTAGCATAGCTAATAGTCGAGCACTGACGAACTAACCTAACCTAACATTTTTTTATTAAACACGTGAAAGTGGTTAGTAGAAGCAAGTAGCAAGATGGTAGCAAGTAGCAAGTAGATGCATCAAGTGTCAAACGTGGAAGATCATGTATCAAATAGCTCAAAATAAATATATTAATAAATATATTAAATGTTATAAATATTAAGCAAGAATGGCAATGTTTACTGATTTAAATCTTAATTCATGGATTGTCAATCAATTAAAAGCCGTCGGTAAGTTGAAATCACATTTGTTCCTGAATAAAATGTTTAATAATAGTATAGTATATATAAAGAAGATATTTGATTATTTTCTTTATTTTTGTAAATTTTTCTTTAACCTTTGAGTTTCAAATATTTAGGCTTGAAAAATGCAAAACCAATTCAAAAAAACTGCATCCCTGCAATATTAGAAGGAAAAGATGTCATTGGATGTGCAAAAACTGGTAGTGGTAAAACATTAGCTTTTGCCTTACCAATTCTACAAAAACTTTCAGAAGATCCTTATGGTATATTTGCCCTTGTGTTAACACCAACCAGGGAACTAGCATTTCAAGTATAAATTGTTTTTTTAATCATCTTTGGTTTTTTATAAACAAATATTCTAATTTAAAATATTGTTGTTAGATATCTGATCAGTTTGCTGCAATTGGCAAAGCCATTAATTTGAGAAAAAGTACAATTGTTGGTGGCATGGATATGGTGGTACAGGGACAAGAGCTTGCAAAACACCCTCACATTGTTGTTGCAACTCCTGGAAGACTGGCTGATCATTTGGAAAGCTGCAATACTTTTTCATTGAAAAGAATCAAATTTCTTGTAATTGATGAAGCAGATAGATTACTTGGAGGAGATTTTGACAAGCAACTTAGCATTATATTTCAAGCTTTGCCAAAAGAAAAGCAATCTTTACTTTTCAGTGCTACAATTACTGATGCACTGGAAAGAGTGCAACAAGTGTCAAGCAGAGAATTTTTTATTTATCAGTCTGAAGATGACACAGGTATTGCAACTGTTAAAGAACTTGATCAGAGGTATGTGCTTTGTCCCAAAGATATTCGTGATGCTTATTTAGTTGAAGTTATCAGAACATTCAGAGCTGAAAATGGTGTTGGATCAATAATGATTTTCACTGATACTTGCAAGTCAGTTATATATTTTATTATTAACTATTTACTGTTCTTTTACTATTTTCTTAAAGTGCTCTTACTGATCCCCTTTATTCCAGACATTGTCAACTATTGTCTATGACATTGAATGAATTAGGCTTTGATAATGTAGCTCTGCATGGAATGATAAAACAAAAAGAGCGTTTAGCAGCTTTGACAAAGTTCAAATCAAATCAAGTTAAAATTTTGATTGCAACTGATGTGGCTGCAAGAGGTTTAGATATTCCAATAGTTACACTTGTAGTTAATCATAATATACCCAATGTACCTAAAGAATACATTCATAGAGTAGGTAGAACAGCTCGAGCTGGAAGAGGTGGTATGGCTATTAGTTTGGTAACTCCACATGACATTAAACTGTTGCATGCTATTGAGGAGATTATTGGTACAAAACTTAAAGAGTTTAAAGTTAATGGTAAGTGTTAGGAAAACCACTTGATTATCAAAAATTTTCACTATTTTCAATTTCTTGAAGATATTGTAATTTTCAGATAAAGAAATTGTCACAATTTTCACACAAATATCAGTGACGAAACGAGAAGCAGAAATCATTTTAGATGAAACTGATTTTTATGAGAAAAAAATGATAAACAAAAGAAAAAAGTTAATTATGGAAGGAATGGATCCTGAAGAAGTAGATGAGTTTCTAAATGAAAGAAAGAAACACAAAAAACCTAAAAAGAAAAAGACTGACCAAAAAATTAAAGAGGAAATTACACTTAAGAAAACTATTGATTCAGATTAAAACGTGTTTACATAATATGAAAATTGCCGTGAAAAAGTTTATTACATACATTATGTAATTGTAAATATTATATTTTAAGGTAGCACAACTACATTAAAAAATCATAAAATAATTAAATGACCTTATCGTTTTTTAATAAACGTAAATATTTTTTTATGTTATACGCGAATAGATATTTTATCGACTTTATTTTATCATTTAATTTGATTATCGTGAGTACAAAAGATAATTCTCAATATTTTTATACATCCTATTAGTACAGTGAATCACATACAAAAATTTTTAATTTCTAATACACAATATATTGAAAAAATACCTTTTTCATAAACTAAATAGTAGCTAATTTCTTTATCCACGTGAATGCTTGTTTCTAAAGTTGCTCTATACAATCAGCTGTAACCTTATACAGAAAAAAATTACATAATTCGAAACCAACGAAAGGAAACTCTTGAATATTCATTCTTAAAATACTAATGGGAGCGTCGTGTGATCGAAAACTTACTTGGAATTAATGCATTGATACATGTAAGTGAGATTATTACAAGTAAAAGACATAACGTAACGATAAGGAGTAAAAAAGAAAGTATTACTACTTAACAAAAAAGTAAACAATAAATCGTTCAGCTTTATCGCTCCCTTGCAAAAATCTCGGATCGGTAGAACAAACAATTGCGTATATGGCAATAGATTTGATTGTTTTTTGTGTAATGATACTTGTTACAGCCGAGCTCTAATCTTCTCCTGGTTTTGAATGAGTTGTAGTCGATCTAAGAAAGTATAAAGCTCGGCTACATATTCCTTGGGATGAGCCCGGAAGTGACCAACGTGAGGAGTATCCTCAAACACCTTCGTATATGTCTGAAAGACAAAACGTATTTCAATAGATAGTCATCTAAGCTAATTCCTGATTAAATAAATTAAATAAATATATCATTGCAAACCTTTGTTCCCAAAGATTCCCAAGAATCTCGAACTCGCATATTACTCTCCAGTGACCCGACAGGATCAGTTTTGCTGACTAAGAAGAGAGCAGGCGAGCGAACCAAGTTCAAGTGGAATAGTTGACTTGATCGAATCCAGTATTGAGTTGCTTGTTTGTGAAAAACTTTCATGTGATATCTATTAAAAAATTGTCGTGTATTATTTTGTATTCATTTTTTAAGTATACACACGAAGTCGATATTTTAAAACTGATAAAATACATACTGTTTTTTATATTTACATTACAATTTTATACTTAATTTGATAAATTAGACAAATGTAAAGAAATACTTTCTACACTTACTCAAGATACGATCTTGTAGCATTTTGAAGTACTTCGTTATTAGGGAAAATAGCTTTTGGAGTTCCAATAGTGAATTCGCTTATATCAGCTGCACTATCCCAAACGTGGCCGACAACTCGATTTATCACGTGGTCGTATTTTTTACGATCTTGATGCACGAAGTCCAAGACCTCACCCCACATGTAACCACCAACAGAAAAACCATGTAAAAGCACACGCTTGTATTGTTTGTTTTGATCCAAAAAGTCCAGCAGGTCTGATGCGATAATCTGAAGAAGAAATAACTATTGTGAATTTAAAATTATTTATGTACATCATACTTTGTGAATAAAGCATTTCATATTGTTCGTTTCGCATGCAAAAATATTACATATTTATATCATTAGCACTAAATTGTATTGAGCAATTCTGCGAAGCGATAACAAATATATCGATAGTTGCAACTCTTGTACTAGGTACAAAACGTTCTTGAACAATTACCGCATTCAAATATACATTGATTCATTTACATAAGCATCATGAAAATTTAAAACTTTTTTGTCAAAGTGCAAAGTACTAACTCTCGATCCATTGACAGGCCACATCAGCTGCCAAGGAGTGATAGATACAGTGACAACGTCGAAGCCTTGTTCCATGTAAAAATTGACGAATTTCATGATGTGCTTTCGCTTGGATTGCAACCAGCAAAGAAGTACAAGTAAAGGTCGTTCATCGGCGTTGGGATTGATAATAACTTTCTTGTCGACATTCTTTGTGATCGGCACGTTATCCTCGACGAGCAGCTCGATATTCTTTGTCAATCGATGTGTACTCAAAAAATTGCAGGCAACAAAGCCGAAAACCTGTTGAAAGAAAAAACGACATTTTAAATATACTGAACGATTGTAGTTGAGAAATACAAAAAATGTACCATGTTATCCCGTGGCCGTGGTTTGCCATTAGCGGAAAATCTTGGTAAAGCTTGAGCTCCAAACCTGGATCTTGCCAGGGCAGACAATGTCATCCTCATGAGGGCCATGATGATTGATCACACTCGCTGCGCATGAAAAATAAAAAAAATCTTAATAAAATGGCGTGCGTATGTGTACGCGTGTGCGTGCACATGTTTGTGTGTGTGTGCGTGCATGCGTGCGTGCGTGCGCGCGCGCGCGTGTGTGTGTATCGTAAATCGGCTCTATTCTATTTTTTCTTTTTCGTGCGCTCTCGAGACCTGACAATAATCTCATTTGCCTTAATCAGCGAAATAAAAAAACGCGGTATCACGACATATCGTGCACAGACGATTAATCTATCTAAGCTCGCGTGTATTTTACCGTCAGTTCAAAGTGCAGAAACACGCACGAGACACCAGTTTTACGTGCAACAACACTGTATTGTGTCCACCTTTTTAAAATATGTCATTGAAAAACCGGATATGCGACGTGTAGCGAGTGCTTTTTACCAATCGCTTTCGCGTTACGTTTCATATTACACATTACGTCAAATATCATAAAAATGCCTAGAGAATGTTGACGATTCAAATTTGATAGGATCTTGGAATACGTGAGATTCAAGGATTTTTAAATCAAATAAAAATCTAAAAGTGCTTAAAGAACCTTGATATTAATAAGACATATTTCATATAAAGTTGCAATATTCTTTTTAAATAAAACCTTCGTTAACGCTTTAAGGAAGAGTTTGCAGACTAGAAGAGAGAAACATCATTGACGCGATAAATATTCATGACTTTATATGTCCACCGCAAGCAAAAATTATACAGCAAAAAAGCATTCTCTCATCGTTCATTTTTTGACATACGTAAAAAAATTGAGTGATTTCGTGACTAAGAAGACGAACTTTGGCTTACAAATTTATAAAACATCAATATAATACAGTATATAAGGGAATGAAGTGTTGTAGTAGCAAACGGGTGATGACAATAATGACTTCTAATAATAAATCAGTAAACTCAAATTTGCTTGCCTTCTATAAAACATGTAACTTGAAGAGGAAAAAAACTGAAACCTCACTGCGAGACAAATGTTTATAAATGACGGAGAAATAACAGTATTATAGATATTACACATACACACACGCATACACGAACGCACGCACGCACGCACGCACGTACACATCTATAGGCATATTAACTTTCGTACATGGCAGAGGGAAGTCAGTCGTATGATCGAATCAAAGCCATTTAAAAAGTTCCACACCGACTGATTAGATGAACCTAATCGATGAAGTACACAACGGTAATGAATAATCGAAATATGATAGCATTTTTTAAAATTTCACTTGTTCATTGTCTCACGCATCACTGCATCAGTTTTTCTCGAATGCTGTAGTCATTTTCTCGCGTACATGAATAAACTATATAAATCTAAGTCACGCGATTTAAACAATTGCGATCCGTAGAATTCATCAACATTAAACGTATTCTCTTCGAGATAATGCTGCAGAAATCGTTCGACACTGCGCTATGGCTGATAATGTACTCGCTTACTTGGCAAATTATGCAAAAACGAGCACTCGCTAAGAATTAACAAAGAAATAAAAGTACGAATGTGCAACAGCATTGTGGCACGAGAGAAAGACATGTAAACACCATATGTACGAAGTAAAGTAGTTAGGCCATAGTTGACCCTGCAATTTGGAGCAAGTTGCTACTTACATTAAATATGTGTATATCTATAACATGGGACAGACTTACATTGAGGCAGAACCGAAAGCGGCGAGCGTGTTGTTATAGAAGGCAGCGGGAAACGACTCGTTATCGGCTTGGATGTGTGGTACGACCCCTTTAGACACTCTTCCGCGCTCTCTTTTTATCAATTATACTTGTATCGCCAACTTCCCTCCTCGATTCTTCTTGGCTCAGCTCAGTGTCGTAGTTGTTGAAAAATCGTTGTACATACCCCGTCGCAAGCAAAATTTCTGTTAAGGCACCACGTAAGAGACACCACAGCTGATCACCTCTCCTCTTTTGCTGCAGTTATGTACTGCTCACAGTTCACACAGCGCTAGTTCAGGAAACTGCTGATGTGCTTTTTACGTGATTCTCGAGGTGGCGCTCAGAGCAAAAGTTCAAAGAGGTTAGAATCGCTGCTGCGCTTTTACATGACGTAGGAACAAGTGCGTGTGTGATATGCGACTGCGACGAGGCCACCAGAGATGAACTGCAATGGAGGGCTACCCGCGAGCTCCGATAACAACCTCGGCTCCATGGACTGTACGCCCCTCGTCACCTGTAAGTGTAACTTAAGCTTTTTCAATTTTCACCCCTCTTTGGGTTATCGTTGATATTTTCGTATAACTCCGTTTGTACAAAATTTTGTTGTACGACTTTGCTCTCGATTTGTGTATTTTGTTATTGTTCAGACGTCTACAGAGTTTTCAAGTTTGTTGTTGTTTATTGATAGATAATGTCGTTTATTTTCGTCGCTTCTGTTTTGGATGCTGAATCTTTACGAAAATTGGCTTAAAACGTTGATGTATGTTTTTATGGCAGTCTTTATGGTGCTTCGTGTAATAAAATAACCGTCCAATTCGTTTAAATATTTTTTACTAAACAGCATATTTTTATCGAATTGGCAAGCAGCAATCGGTTGCTTTTTGATAACCACTTTAAACTGCTTTCTAATTGGTGTATGGGAGCTAACAGTACTTGATTTATGTAAGATTCTTGAGCATGTCATTATAGTAAATTCTTTTCTATTGTCACAATATGATGCATAAAAAAAATAGAATCTGTTTAGCATTTAATTTTTTTAAATTTTGCTTTTTAGAATAACCAAAAATTGTTAAAGAACTTTTATGTTTTTATTATTAAATAATTAGTAATCTTATAAATATAATAAAAATTACAAGTCATTAAAAGTGCAATAATTTGTATTTTCCATTTCTATTCACAGTCATTTAGTCATTTATTTTTTTGCTAAGAATTATATTATATTTTAATGTGATGATTTTGTAAAACTAAAAAGGGGAATGTTACTAACAAATAAATGATTTTGATTTAAAGATGCAGGAGATAAAGAATTATTCAATACCTTGGCAAATAACTTGGTCAAGTCAATACCCACTGATTCAGCCGAATGGAGAAGATCATATGACAGACCAATTAAACAAGTCAAACTTAATGCAAGGTTTGTTCCATTCTTGCAAGATATTTTACCAAAGGAAAAAGATTGCCATCTTGTCAAAAGGCCTATTTTTCATACATATTGGAGTGAATGCTCAGTAAGTATAAAAATTTACATTTTAAAACACAATTTTATTTCTGTATTTCAACTATATGTTCTATTTATAGGATGTTGATGTGTACAAGACATCTCTTAGAGATGACATAGACTCATGGTTGAAGATATTATCTAAAGCTGGCGTGCAAGACTGGATGATAGTTTTAGTTGAAACATATGACATTAAGAAAAGTAATAAATTATTGCCAAGAACAACTGTCTTGGACAAAATACGTAGTGATTTTGCTTCAAAACATGGAGACAGGTGAAAAAATAAGCCTTTAAAAAATATCCTCTAGTGTTGTATTGAAATTGCCATACTCAATTATCTTGTCAATAGGTGTCTATCCATAATCAATCCAATAAAATCTGAATCTCGTTCGGCTGAGTCATGGAGGGGGTTAATAACTCGAATAAGACATTTGATGCTCACAGCTTATGATCGTACTCTTTTAAAATTTGAAGAAATAATCAGAGAACATAGAGAAAAAAGAAACCAGATTGGTTGGAACTTCTGCCATTATTTTTTACTCCAGGTAATCAATTATTTTTAAAAAAGGTAAACATTTACACAATACATTGCTTATTGCAAATTGTATTTCAGGAAGAACTAGCCTTCGTTTTAGAAATGCTAGGTTTATACGATGAAGCTTTAGTACAATATGATGAACTAGATGCTCTTTTTACACAATTTGTCATAAACTCAAATGTTGGAGGTGAGATCTCCAGTTTCTATTAGTCAGTACAAACTGATAAATCTGCAATGTGCAAATAAATTTCTCATATTTCTAGATACTCCAGCATGGCTGAGTTCATTTCAAAGTCCTTTGAACAAATGGTCAGGTGTAAATCTTAACAATAGCTTAGATTATCATGCAAGAATTTTAATAGCTGAATGTAAAGCGTCGCTACTAGATCTTCGAAGTTATTTGTTCGGCAGACAATGTGCTATGTTACTATTGTTGAGAAGGTCATGGGAGGTTAGTACTCTGCTCTTTTATTTTTTTAATAAAGTAATAAATTTTTTAAATGAGATGTATTTTTAGATGGCACAACGTTGTCTTACCTTTGTGCACGATACAATGAACGAGTTACGTATACTTGAGGTACAACGACCCGAAGGTTCGGTCGAGTGTTGGGCATTCTTGTGTGCATTGGAAGTCCTTGACGCATGTCAATCGTCATCGTCAACTATTGACAACAATCAGTTATTAGATTTGTGCTCATCGTATACTGCAAGCTTGTGGGCATTAGCCAGAGACAAGGTGCGTCACTATTGCTAAAGCATAATTGTTTTGACGCTAGCTAATCGGCTGCGAGTCACGTACTTAACTATCTGCAGTGACTCACCGTTTGTTAATTTATTGACGTCAAGTTTTCTACGACTTGGCAAAGTTTATCACTTTTGCTAAATTTTCTAGAAGTTCATAGTGCACAAAGTATCACTAAGTGTTTTGGCCTGTATCTGTCTATTTATCTATCCAAGCGCAAAGTTATGGAAATCAAATTTTGAACTATTGTTGTGAAAAGTGTATCAATTCAAATGATTATTCCCTTGCCAATGGTGTAGTTTTCAAATAAAATTTAGTATTATTTCTATATTTATAATCTCATAAAATCAAGTTAAATTCAATGTTTCACGTTAACTAGTTTCTAAAAGTTTTTCGCTTATCAAAGAAATTGAACCATTCCATTTCTACAATTTTAAAAATATATAAAAATTCAAATGCACCATAAAAATCTAAAATGACTAATTTACCTTGATAGTTGGAAAGCTTAGGCAAGATGTGCGGTTTGATGCCTGGTAATGAACCAACGAGCGAACAATTGCACACAGTAGTATACCTGATCGCAGGTATGGGCGACTCGGAACCGGCAAGTAATGAACCCGACAAACCTACGCCCACGGATAAACTAAAAGAAGCACTCTCGTCGAAAGAAGCCTTCAAGAAACAATATCTCTATCATGCTGAACTTGGTAATTATCGTTTTATTTCTTCGTTTTAAATGATTTTAAATAGCACTGTCGTTGTTGAAAAATATAGAAAATATAATGCATAAATGGTTTTATTATCGGTAACTGGTTGGTTTACGTAGTTAGCGCTTATCAATATTCACTTGTAAAATCAATTATTAATGTTTTAAGTGTAAACCTTTTAGTACGCGAGGACGTTTTAGCGTGAAGTGCAGTACAAAGGCTTTAGTACAATAATATCTAAGAAGTTTTAGTAAAATATGTTTTATTTTAACTGCTCATTTAATTAATGATTATCGTCAAGCTGTCTAAAAAAATTTTAAAAATTACAGACAATTAAATAATGAATAAGTTTTCATTATCTTCGAATGTAATCAAAACGATTATCAAATAAAATCTAGATGAAAACCAATTTTCTAAATCCCTTTTCTTTCATTCACAGCAATGGGTACGTTCAAGCACGTGAACAGAATACGCTCAGCGCGAATGATTGGCAAAGACTTAGCACGCTTCTACAGTGACATGAGTGAAAATCAAAAAGCCGTAGTCTTCCTTTTGGATGCATTGCAGACTTACAGTTCAGAAGGTTGGACTCGCTTAGCAGCTCAAACACAACACGAGTTGGCACAATGTTATAAAAAGATGGACGACGTCGAACGTTACACTAAAGTTTGCGCAGCGATCGCTGCCTCGGAAATTCTTCACATGACTATTCGCAATTCTTATCTCGACGAAATGCTCGCCTATACGAAAATGCTTGCGAATCCACAGCCATTATTGACGGAATTATCGAGTAGTTTTACCATTCTGGAGATGGAAGTCAACGTTACCGATAAGGTCATTCAGGATTGCGATGTGAGGGTCGAGGTTGTATTGCTTAGTCAACTGCCTAGGCCCATCATGTGCACGAAGGCTGAGTTGTCGGTTGAAGACGTACAGAAACCAAATGTTAAGAAAAAAGGAATGCAGGGCTCAGAATCGAATATTGAATTGTAAGTTGTCTTCTCTCTGTTAATTTGGAATCGTGAAATTTTATAGTTTTGCAAATAATGAAATATACTTTTATTCTAGATTGTTAAAGTGTAAAATAGACGAAACAAAACCATGTGATCCATGCCTCCGAAAATTGTCGGTAACGAGAAATTTAATTTACAAGGAAGACAAAACAATTGGATCTGCCGGTGTGGAGATTGGAAAAAGCACGAAAGCTCCGATCAAGCGGTCAGACAGCGTAAAGCAGCGAAAGCCTTCGATGAATATTAAAGGTGATTTCGCTGGAGCTCTTAGTACTTCAGAGGAGTTTGTTCTTCAACCTGGGATAAATAAACTTACATTAACGAAGCGTGTAGACCATCCTGGCCTCTACAGAGTTGGTCAATTGGCACTGGTTATCGAGAAAAAACTTAAGTTTTTATCGTCCGTATTGGAACCTCGATTGTGTTATTCGGTAAACATTAGTCAAAAAAATATTTAAAAACTAACACAGTACAATGAAACAATTATGTTGCTTTTATTGACAGGTGGCGAAGACACCGCCTACAATCACGTTGAACTGCTCGAGAGATTTACTGGCAGGTTTAGCACAGAGTGTGGAACTAGTCATATCGAGTGGCAGTGTGAGAATAAATGAAGGTTCAACGGTAAAACTAAGGACATCGAGAGGAATGACAGTATCCAAAATAGAGGAGAACAAAGATGGCCAGACGGAAACTGCGGCGAGAGAGATCGAAATTGTTATTCCACCTTGCGAACCTTTTGAAACCACAAGGTTGAAGCTTGTAATGTTCGCAGAATTGCCACCTAAGAGAGATTCGTCTTCGATGGAGCACAAGGTAACTACTGATTTTTTTGTGATAGGAATGAGATTGTTTTTGTCAACGAAGATGAGAAAGTAAAAATTTCGATGATTATATTTTTATTACTCTTGAAATGTTATAATTTAATTGTATTTTCATTAATGTTTTTACAAAATGATTTGTCAAAATTCTAACTACTGATGTTCTTTCAAGTTGTAAAGATATCGCTAACACAACTATATTTTTACATTCACAGTTAAATATCCAATGTCCATGGAACGCAGAAGAAAGCATAACACTTCATTTCGGCACGCCTCTCATGTCAACGATGAAACTTCACACAGCCAAGAGACGTAAATTCATACAGATAATCGTAACAGGATTGTCAAATCAGTTGTTACAACTCACTGAGCCTCAATTAACAAGTGGTACATCGGTAGACGTACATTTCAAGAGTTTGAATCCCACAGCTGGACAAAAACTTGTGATTGGAAACAGTATGTCTGTATCGTTTATGTGGGAAGTCGAGATTGGATATGATGATGAACGTTCAACCATACCTATTAAAACTGATTTCAAAGTGAAATATATCGCGATTAAAGATATCGAAGATTTGGATGAGATTGATAACGATAGGGTACGTAGTAGAAAAAAGTGTATTTTTTAATTTAGCGAACGAAAACATTATCGAAATTTTGTTCATTCAATTTTAGAGTGATAAGGGCGTTGTTGATGATCCACTCCACATTCGCGACTTGGAAAAAGTCGAAAAGGAGAGCAACATGTATTGGTGTAATTTCGACGTAGTCGACTACTCGGTAATAACATTTGAAATAACACATAATTGTGTTTTCCTCGTGTGTTTTCAAATTAACACAAATATTAACACAGCCACAACTCAGACCATAACCAAACTAACAAATCTAACGAAATATTGCGCGTGAAACGAAAAAGATCCTCGAAAAACTCTCAGTTAAAGTCGAGCCGTGTGTGTGCGCGCCAATCACATTTTACAGACGCTGTTCACGGTATCGTCGCGAGTCGAGCCAATAAGCGGTGGCGGTGAGTTTTGTCGTGCAGGTAGTATGTGCCACCTCTGCCTCACAGTCACTCGTATGCAACCAATATCGTCATCAACCAATCATCATCATCATCAACATCACCACCCGCCACAACTTATGTATGAGGTACTCGCTGATCAAACAATGTGGGCTGTTTGTGGACGTACTGCTGGCGTCGTTTCTCTTGAGGTCTTAGAAAAGCAGAGTGTTACATTGGACGTTATGCCACTGACCAGTGGTTATTTGCCACTGCCTGTTGTCAGACTGTCGCGGTATATTCCTGCAGCGGTCGAGCTTAAAAACGGTAATGTTTTTCATCAGAAGCTTCTTCTAGTTTTATTAGTGCATTTTGAATGATTGTTTGCTGATTAATGGGTTGCTTTTTTATCATCATCTACGGTTAGCAATTAGGAACTAGCCGATTATGGAAATTTACACGTTATTACTTCTTTATTACATAAACTAAGAGTATTATATTTTATTATTTTATTAAAAATATTTATGGAATACAATCCTTTTGTGGTAATGGTAATTTGTACTAATTTATATTTTTTTAGATCCCACTAGAAAAAATGATTTAGGTGCAGGTGTAGGACCAAGACTTGAGCCATTTAGCCCAGGTCAAGTATATAACGCGAGCAAAGCCCAGCAAGTTCATGTGTTGCCGACCGCGCCGATGACCAACGAAATCAACTGAGCCATTGACATACGAGTAACTTCGCTTTAATTTCGTGTTCAATAATTGCCCGACAACAAAATATCACATGGTGAAGACAATACTAAATACAGGGCTATAGTTAAAAGGTTTTTGACTTTCTTTAATCTATTACCAACATATTTTTTAAAAGCTTATATGAGATTTCAATGAAACCAGATGAAATTTACATTTTTTGTCACTCTACGGGAAAATTTCCCTTTTTTGTTTTTTATCGTGTTACATTACTCTTTTGTCAAAAATTATAAACTTGATAAACAGTGTTTAGATGATAAATTTAAAAAATAATATTTTGTATTGAAATATTTATAGAAAAATTATTTTGTACATTTGGAAATTTTCGGCGAGTGTTCTGCGGTCGATTGTATGGTTTAGCGTAAGAAAACTATTCATGACAAGTTAAGTTTCTGTAAATTTCGGATAAATTGTTTTTTTACTGTGCTTTAAGAATTAAACATTCTATTAAATTATACTTTTATATTCTACTGTTAATATGAATTAGTTAATTTACTATGCGCTTGATTGTGAGCAATAGGTTAAACATTCATGAGCGCTTTCGGTACTTTCCATTATTTATTATAGAACGATGTAATATGAATCGCGTTGCCATGCTGTAATATTAAATTTGTCATAGTTTTTCACATTTTTTACGGCTACACTTAGAACATTTGGAAACTTGTGTACATACGCAATACAACTAATACTCAATTTTGTTATTGTTGTAGAATTACAGATATTTCTAATAGTTATAAAATTTTTTAATAGTTCTATTTCATTAAACAAAGAAGTATCACTGAATATGAAATAACTTATTTAAAAATGGTTCAAGACCAATTAATTCAAAGTTCTTTTATTATTTTTCTTTATTTCAATAGGTACTATTAATATATTATTCATCAAATTTAATATGTATATCACAATGAGCAAATGTGTAAATATGTAAAAGTACAAAAACATTGTAAATATGCAGATGGCTTGAATATCATTTGTATATTAATAATTTAAAGTTCTGTTAGAACTACATAACATATCTTGTCATATATATTTGTACTGTATATCTTGTTCAGATAAGCAAATGTCAAGGCACTGATAACAGTTTTAAAAACTTTACTGGAATATGTACTGTACCAGTAGTAGGTGTAAATAAAAATGAATTGTTATTAAATTCTTTTAGTTATGCATCAATACCTTCCTAATTTATTTCATGACAAAGAACAGTATTAAAGTTAATATTCATTAAAGAGCTTAAAATTATTTATTCTTTACAAAACTCACGTTATTACTGTTAGTGATACAAAATATGTACTTTTTACATGATTATTTGGTACTGAAAATCCTTAATTTCTTAAAAATTAATCAATAAGTTGGTAAAGGTTTTTGTGTGAGTAAAAGGCCAAATCTGCGCTTTAATGTGATGCGTTCTCTGGAGTATTTGTCTTCGGGTGAGAATCGAGCTAAAAATAATAATTTACATCGATTAATTATTAAAGATTTATATATGGAAAGTTAAATCAACAATATTTAATAAAATTTAGTACCTGGGTGAGCTGACATAGTTGGCTTTCCATAAGGATCAATTTTCTAAAAAAATATGAATTGAACAATTTTTATAAACATAATTGTTAAATTTAAATTAAAATGTCGTATTCTGCAATAATAAAAGAATGAATAATGTAGTAGAAATTAAAACTGAATCTAAATTGGTCTTGACAACATGAACACTTCTACAGAATCTATATTTGTTTTTAATATATGATCGGTATTTTGAGTGTTTGAGAGACACATTTTAAATGTTTATGATTATATTTTATCAAGTGAATTTAAATAAGTGAATTTTTTTACAAGTCTACATACAAAGAAATTTGTAATAAAGTATTTCCAAAACTAACCGTGGCTTTTAAGCGTAAAAAATAATGAGGAAAAAACGGCCTAACCTAAACTTTTAGAAGTTAATCAAAAACAATTTAACAAATAATTACCTTGAGGGTATATATACGGTTGCCCTCGTCGTCCAAGTAGTACATAAGATACATGATTGATTATTATGTATTCTCGATAAGAAAATAAAAAGCAAACAACCCTCTACGCAAAAACAACGTGTTCGACAACAACAGCTTTTAACCTTAAGCTAAGCTATATCGCACATTAGCCACATCTGACGCGACGTCCCACGTGCGTTAGTGAAATTGACGGTCGCAAAACGGCGGCGCGTTTGATGAAAAATCTCTGGGCTAGTCGGCTCGAGTGCGCATGCGACTCTCCAGCGCGTTTTTTCCAATTTTCGAGCCTCGTCGTATGTTATTGAAAGTGCTGGCACTGAATCGTATGGAATTTCTTAATAAAACGCTAATTGGGCATTTGATTCGTTTCAGTATTGCCGTGGCTTCCGTTCGCTTTGTAATCACGTGCGTGCTAGTTTTTTTGTTTCATTTGTTCAATACGACGTAGATTGACTGCTATGGAGAAAAATTAGTATTGACAAATCGTGAGTGGCATTGATGGAAATTTTCATGAAAGTACTCGGAGATTTCAGCATGTTATTCATTCAAACGTTTATGCGAAGGTAACATTTATTCTCGGCCACTTGAAACCTTGACATTGTTCCTCGAGTGTTTGTTTATTGATACTCATTTCGGCAAATAATAAATAATTACATCTAAAAAGTCTAAATATGCAAATGATCTTCATAAAAGTCGATTTGAGTTGCCTATTACTGTGAACTAATCTTCAGTCGCGCTTCGTCTATCTGATAACTATTAGATTGTATTCAATTAGTCATAGATAAGTTGCTAATCAGCAGTTTCACATTACTAACAGCAAAGTAATCGCTAAATCGTAAATTCTGTGTTTGCCCAAATAATACGTCCTCATTGGCAAGTCTACTCTCAATATAAAAATGCCACTTGCATTTGCAGCTGCTCGCACACTCACAAAAAAACTACAAAACTTTTAGACATAAGATTGTTTTCAGCTGAGAGGCTGCGTGAGTTTATCGTCGTCTACGTGTGGGTGCCCGCGCGCCAGTAGCACTCATTATCGCCGACGACGCTCTTAGTGTACGAGTCGCCGTAGCGCGGCGAGGCGACGTGTCGCACGCGCGCGCCTATCCGAACCTACTCCGGTCCTCTGTCATTTCTTTTGCTTGTCGATTAAGATTTCGAGTAACGCGAAGCGAACTAATTTTTTTTGTATGTTCGCGAGAAAAAACCGATGTGTTCCTCACGTCCGAGATTCTCTCGTTCGTTTGCTCGACTTATCAGAGCCAATTAAGCACATTTTCACGAGAATTGCAGAGAACAAATGCGTGTTCGACGGTTTTTTTTTTTAAATGAACAAGAGAGAAATATACTTGTGCCACGCTCCAAAAGAATTTCTACTTCCTGCTTATTAAGCATAATAGTTCTATTCTGACATCATGACTGTGTATTAATACGAATTAACATTATGACTTCATATGTACAAGTGTTTTAATCGTATAGTTCTTTTTTCGGGATTGCTGACATTATACGAAAGTTATTAAAATACAATGAAAATTATGGAGTATAGGGAAAAATGAAAGTGTTTTTCGTTGAACAGTGCGTGAATAGGTAAAAGAGAGCTTTGAAAATGGAGCAACTTAAGGGTTGCAAGAAATGGGAAGGTGGTCCTGAGGTAAAGTATTTTCCTCAAATAAATATAATTATTAAACGACTTTTCAATTGTCACTCAACCCCACTGACTGCAATAGTTTTTATCGTTGAAAATTCTTGGTTTAAAAAAAAGAGATCGTGATTAATTTTGTCAATATAATTTAATAAAACTCTAACTCATTTCTCAGAAGTTCGAACTTTGATTGTATCTAAGTAATGGAAATTCGTACACTGTTAATATTCGTGATATTTCAGTACTTAACATTCTTAAACGCGCCTCCACCACCAGTCACTAATAAACTATAGAATTTTTTTTTCTTTCGACAAAATCTAGTATTGAAGAGACCAAGCAAATTGATTAGCTTAAAGCAACCCAAGCGCGAAGAAAAAAAAATGCAAAGTACGCGAAAGTTCAACGACCTCGATTTGCTAATCGTATCGACATTTTCATTCTTTTGTTACTGTCTCTTTTGCCACAGATGAAAAGGACTATCAAATGGGTCGTGCATGTACCACCGGAAGATCCGTATCTTGAACGGATGCCACTCGAGCACCAAGTCGCTCATGTCAAGTGTGAGTTGCATTCTCTTTTCTTTATTTTATTTATTTATTTAGTTTTTGATTTGGAACGCGGTATGATGTGTCTATCATTGAGATGTTGTTGTTTTTAAATGAAAATGAATCATAGCGTGATTGGAATAACTGTCTTTTTCTCTGATAGTTTATTTCGCAAAAAGGTATAATAATCGTTATTTTAATTATATTCGCTGTTTATTCATTTCTCCACAATGATGGCATATTATTATGAAATTATACAACATGAAGGCGAGGAATGTTAAGTTACGTAACTTTATTGTATTAAGATAAGAAATACTTTACTGAGGTAGTATCATAAATGTGATAAGAAAAATAAAACTCAATCACTTATAAACTAATTGAATTTTCATTCTGTGATTCCATTCAAATGATCTCAAATCAATTTTAATTTAATGGTATAGTATAAAAATTATTCCATAATATCAAAAAGCTGTTTTTTGATTATAGCATCTATTATTTTTTGAAAAAAATATATTTATATTTCACTGATTTGTCGCTTCTAGTTACTTCGTTTCCTTTCGACAACTAATTAGATAAATAAATTGAGTCACATAGCAGATTCAAATATTGTCTATCATTAAGTATATGAAGTAAATCACAATCGTACATACGTAACTACAGTTGTCTCATGTAAGGAAAATGATGATTTATTTGTAATAAACAGTTAATTCGAAAAATTAAAGATATAGCTAATTTATCACTGGCCCGAAATAATCCCCCATGCTAAAGTAAAGAAAAAAAGAAATCAATATCAAGATCAACATTAACATTGTTTTCGCATCATTGTCTCTCATTGAATCATCCCTATTAACCAAAACTGCCCCCCCCCCCCCTCCCCCATAAAAAGTCATAATTAAGCCCGCATAATCTGCGACGTGTGAGAAAGAAGTCAGCGGCGTTACATGCGATACACACTACACAGACACGCACAGATATACCTGCGAGGCAAGGCAAGGAGAAAGTATAAAAGCGACCGTTCGGGGTCCGTGCTGCTCGGCGAAAAACTGGGGGCCTTATGTACCACAAGCGCACACCTCTTCGCTCGTGCTGCTCGCCTATTCCGCTATGCCTACCTGGGACTTACGTCGGTCCTTCGCCTCTCTCGCTCACCTGGGCTGCCTACGAGCGCGTGTGCGTCCCTTTCTCTATGTGTAGAGCGAGATGTCTCGTACACGATAGGCCAGGCGCGCGCGCCTCAATGTCTCCATTCACGCCTTTCTTTCACTACCACGTTCTATTTGCTTGCGAGATGGATGGATTGACCGTTGAGGGTTTCGAGTATTTGATTTTGCGGGCAATGCCTACTTGCATCGATCAATTCATTGCTGTGAATGTCTTATTATTATTGAACGCTTGTGATAATCTTTATTTTTTCTTTTTTACATACTTTAAAATAATAAATAATATTAAAATTTTACGAGCATTGCAAATAGATTTCGCACACTCAATATTACTAACAAGTGTAATAGATAAATCACAAGTCTCGTCATCCGTGACGTTCAATGAAACTTAATCAAGCTCTGGAATATATAAATCTCGTTTAGCAAGCGAAGGGCGGTCATCCACTAAATTATCCTTCGGGAGAGCTGAGTCAACATTGTGCCGAAAGAATCCTCTTGGCAAACAGCCGCTCATGTATATAACACGGGCACGAGCCGATGCACTCGACCCGAACGTGATGATGTTTGTTCTCTCTCTCTCTCTCTCTCTCTCTCTCTCTCTCTCTCTCTCTCTCTCTCTCTCTCTCTCTCTCTCTCTCTCTCTCTCTCTCTCTAGCGAAATACTCCTCCAGAGAGGAATTCGTGTACTTAGCCGGTGAGGATTGTGCGCCCGCTACCCGAATTATTACAGTTGTTTAACTGTGCGTAGATCTATATTCACTGTCCGAGAAGAAAGATTTTACATTTTATTTCAACAGAAGTAGTCATTTTTATTCTGATCTCTCGCTAATTCTACCCGAGCATTCAAAGAATTCGCGTAGGAAAAAAGTCAATTGACTCTAATGCGTTCGAAATTATTTCCTATTGGGCTTTATAAATCACGCTTTAATTAGTACAAATCTATTGACTTCTATAACCTCGAGTAATTAATTCTTAAGTGCACTACGTACGACTTTCACTTTCATTCAAAGAATCATAGATTGTTAATCAAAATTTCATGATTAATCATCGAAAATTTTTTTAAATATACCGCCAAAGTTTTATAGTTGATAATTATACATCAAAGTCAATACAATTGAATTGTTACACATGTTATCTTTTCTTGAGGCTCAATTTTTCTATCCATTCCATACTTATTAATTTGAATTTTCACTTGATATGAAATATTTTCTTGAGCAACTTCCTGTCACATAAGACGATTTTTATATTGGGACTATAGACGCTTTACGTGTGCGCCTGTAGATCTTCAATTTATTTAATTTTTGTTCGAAATTGGAATCCAAATTATATCAAAATCGAAAATTTAAACTTCAATGAGAATATATTAAATAGAATATTTTAATAATGGAAACCAGAATATTTTAATAAATCAATAAATAAGTGTTTTCTGAAGCTCTATTTACATTAACATTTCCCATGCAAAAAGAGAATCCACATTTTGGAAGAAATCAGGAAATTTTCAGGGGGGCCTCCGCAGCCCTCCCGTAAGTGATAATGCAGCCCCAACACAACCCATTCGTGCAGGTCGTAACGACTTCCCCGAAGGCAAGCAGGCAAGGCAGGCTCACAATGATAATCCTGCCTTATAGCCTTCTCTCTCTCTCTCTCTCTCTCTCTCTCTCTCTCTCTCTCTCTCTCTCTCTCTCTCTCTCTCTCTTCCAGTTAGTTCGAGACTTAACAGTGCCGTTGTTGCCAGATCGCACCGTGCACTCTCTAAAAAGTCCCGGGGTTTACTTGTACGAAGGTTGCATGCTCGCTTTGTTTACCTAAAGGGTGTGCATTTATTTTTGGATCAAAATTAAGGCGTCTAAAATTCTCCATGCCTACAGTCTATGCCTGGCTGCTGTGCGAGAGAGAGAAAGCAAAAGGAGTATAGACTTGTGTATAATATAGCAGTGTATACCAAGAGAGCGAGAGAGAGAAAGAGAGCGGTAAAGTAAAAGTGGAGAGGGAAACTCAACCAGATTTCATCGTCAGTCAGTCAGTGTAGTTCGCTCGAAGCCAATCCAAAAGTCTTCAAATCTACTGTAACGTGGGTGTCGTGATATAGCTGTGCTGTGCGTGTGTATGGTTTCGCGAGCGACGCGCGATATGCCGCACATAGCCGAATCAACAAGTGTCGTCGTCGTTGTGCGAACCTAACCTCAATCTTAATATAGCCTTCCAAAAAGACAGAGAGACAGAAAGTGAAAAAGAGAAAGAGAGAGAGAGAGAGAGAAAGAGAAAAAAAGAACGAGAGCAATGCTGTGAAAGTAAATTTTACAAAAGTGTATGTGTCAGAAAAATAAGTGATCCAGCGGACTCTCCCTACATCTCTTCAAGATGGAAGTCGTCTACATAGGTGTGTTATGTCTCTCCTCTATATACATACAACAGCATGGCTTTTGTACTACTACAGATACACCCACGTATAAATCGCGCGACACTTTCGATGCGTGGGTGGTATTTGTATTTATACTAGGGTTTTTGGAGAACGCGTTTTTGATTAGAGTAATTCTATTGCTCGGAAGGGAACGCTTTGCGAAAAAAATGAACATTAGAGAAATCTTGATTTACGAGTCCAAGAAAAAGAAAAAAGTTGAGAGACAACTACGTTACCGGGTCATTTATATCGTTTATATTGGGATATACTCAACAAGACTTTCTAATTTAATCATGTGAATGATTATATTCTCGCGGTTTTTGATAGAGTATATTCGAGACCATTTCGCAGTAACTACGTGTTTATTTGATCCTTAAGATATAATTACATAAATATTATTTTTTGTACATGTAAAAATCATGTAGATTCTTGGAATACCATTCTTCAAGATACCAGAGAAAAGAATAGTTACGATCTATTCTTTATCATTTATCGATGTTTGTTGTTGATTGAAAGAAAATCGGGTTATACGAAAAAGTGTCTCGTCAAAATGAAATAACTATAGAATTTACGTGTGAGTGCTCCCCGCATTATATAGTCTCATTTAGAATTTTTCCAACGTCATATCATTTAATTGAAGAGTACGTAAGCATCGCTGAATTTGCATACTGACGCGTGACGTCGCGCACCAAGTTCTTATATATACCGGTCGATGTGAAAAAAAACATTCACGTGGTGGACATCTTTTTATAGATACACTTTGGTAATATACGCGACTGCTGAATGTATACTATTCAAAACGGTGCACGGAAAATTTCGCGTTATTGTCGGTTTGATAGACTATTAGCGATCTATCAATAGATATTAAAGATTTAAAACAATGCAAGGATGAGTCAATATCAATTTTCAAATATATAGGTTGTACTCGCTACTCAAACTAAGTTTTTTCGTTGTTGCTGTACAAAGTATCCAAGCATCCAAAACTGTTAGACTACGTGCGCGCGTGCACGCGCGCACGCGTGTGTGTGTATGTGCTTCTGAACATGAGAAAGTCTATGTGTATCCGGGCAATATTCGCCGAAGTGGTTTTAAAGCAAGAGAAGGCTCTTAAATCATTTAATGCGCGCAAGAGATATGAAAACACTCGAAGCGTTAAATAAATTTGCGAGTGAAAGCATTTTCTGACATATACAAGCCTTTTGTTTATTTCTCGTGATTAGCTACATCATATTCGTCTTTTTTCTTGAAATGCCAAAGTTGAAACTTTATTTTCATGAGGCTGCGTTGCATATGCGAACATTATAGCTATACCTTGCTTAAACTTACAGTCTGTCATTAGTGATGTGCCTGAAGAACGCGGTATGTTATGGCTGATGTATAAATGTTGAACGATCGGCACAGTGCGCGAATGTATTTTTAATTTATAATTCTGAAAGCTGCGGGTGTAGATCGGAAGAACAAAAAATTTGAATTATTTATAAATATTTGTTTTAATCGCGGAATGGCAATAGAAAAAAAATCAATAATATTGCTTCAACTTTACGAACGAAACATCCACATCAACTATGTATAGAAATACTCCGACCGTCTGCAAAAAAATAAAAGGGTGACAAGGACTCATACAAAAACGGACTACCTGAAAACATCTTATTCTTGCCGCAATTAAAGTGCATATCTTATCTTGATTTTGGCATAAGATTCGTGGTTCCAGCAGCAACGCGTGTGGAATTTGCGCGTGCAAACAGGCAAACTGTAAACACGTTTACTACGTCTTTCGCGATGTGTATTTTTTGCTTCTTTTTTGCTTTCTGTGCATGTGTGATGTTTTATACCTGCGAGGAGATGATAGGACTGGAAAAGCAACTGTTTGCTCAATTTATTAATAAAAAAGTCTGATTTTTTAAGTAGTTGCGAAAAAACGATTACGTACGATTGAATTTATTACTTTTTACCACTACTGTTCGTGATTTTTTTTTCTTAGATTAATTTTACTTCAATCGAGTACAATGTCAACTAGAATCTGTAGAAACAAGTTGAAAAACGAGTCTATAAGTCATTCACATGCAATACGCGAAGCTGACGTTTGTTTTTTGTGTTTGTTTTGTTGTCTTGAGTCATCTTCTCGGTTAAATATGTAACTAACCGACACCGTGATTGTTTGGAATGTAGAGACGAGTATTTATGGAAATTCATCTATTTTTAAAATTTAGTTGCACGTTATTTTAAAAATAGTTTATCGGACTTATTATAAAATGGATCCACAACTTGATGAAATCCAATTGAAAATGTTCTGGGTTAAGTCACAAAAAAACCGTCAGAATTTATCCGTAATCTATCATTATGAAATTTATACGCTATGTTACCTCTGAATGTCAAAAGCAGCAATTAATCTAATCTGTATACGTTGCTGAAAAAAAATGAAACAAAGCGTCCCGTAAAACTGTAGGCATTTAGCCATAACGTATACCAGCGGCAGCCGTCTCGCACGAAGATTAACGCATCTTGCGGCAGCAAAGAATTCCACGCGTCGTGTGTGTATGTATGGCAACAATTTACTGAATCAACAAAAACGAATGTCGCCTCTTCGTCCATCAAGCCAATAATACGCGAGCGTGCATATAAAAATACTCCTTTTTTATCTCTCTGGACCCATCGCCGTTTGGCGCGCGAGTCAATTGAAGCGCTGTATCGAGTGTGTTTGTGTTGGCTGAATCTCGGTCAGAGCGATTAGGTGGTATGTGTACGTTAATGAGTTCCGACGAGGGTTAATATAAGCCGGACTATTGTTTGTTTGTACGATGATGAAAACAAAAGAACGAAGCAATTGTTTCCATTCGTACGCTATTTAACGGATATTTGACTTGTTATACTCTAGTGAATCGCGGTTAAAAAAAAAATTTCTTATTTCTTGTGCTCGTTTCATCGCGATTAAAAATCGTTTCGGTTGCGATAGGTTGGTTTAATATGCGCTTTTACTGACGCAACAATAATGATACCAATTTCAAGCGTAAGTCGCAAAGTTTGAAGTGATGTTACGTAATATTTTCGCAGACAATGTTGTGATAGTAGATGAACAAAACAAACAGGATTGAACTGCGTGTTAAAGCTAAATAAAATGAAAACGATCGCGTGGCAAATGATAATAATTGAAGCGCTAGTACTCTCTTCATATTCCATAAATTAATAGAGCGCACAATTGACAAAGTTCGTTCATATGCCGCATAGCGAAGTGAACAACGTTGCGAAATTCCATATAAACGACGATCGCGCTCGGCGCCGCTTGCAATATATTTGTGGCGCATGGGCAATTGAACGTCATAGGAGCGCGCGTACGTTTTCATTTAGAACAACAAAAAAACAGAAGAAAGGCAGGCCAATGACACGTACACAGGCGAGAGCCTTTGTCGCCGGAATAGATGGGCTCGTCGATGGATTTTGTCGTTCGAGCGCTCTTTTTAGACGCAGTGCAGTGTCTGCACCTGGCTGCAAACGGACTTTGATAAACAACGCTGTGTCAAGTTTTTTTCAAACGTACGGAGACTCGGTCGAAAAATCCAAAGTACACGCTGGCCCTCCGCCGCTCGGTCTGTCAATCTCTCGGGCACCCTGTGGTAAAAAGAAAGCGTAGCTGGCGGCGCGACGGTTATTTCGGTATCGTTCTCTCTCGAGAGAACTCGATAGCAGCGTACGTACGCCGAGAAAAAGGAAGCTCTGGTAGCCTCTTGCTCGTGCGTTCGTAGGGAGAAAAAGTTGCACGTGCTACGAAGGCCGAGAATAGCCCGTCGCTTGCCGACAACACAGCACTCGCGCGCTAGCCGCCCGTATGCTCCAGTCATATCAAGTCATACCAAGCCGGCTCTAACGCTCTGTGCTTTTCCGTGTTCCTTGGCGCGCTTCTTTCGCTGAGCTTTGCACTTGTACCATTTTGCCGATTCTCGGCATATGCACTGTTTTTATTGACCAAATTCAGTTGAATGATCATTGAAAATTACTTACAAAAAAAGAGGTAGTTGCATGAAGGAAAAAATGCGATTCACGAGTCCCAAATTTTCTCGCCTATTTCGAATCAGTAATCAAGGAAATGACAAATGAAAATCGATTTTTAATAATTGAAATTTTCATAAATCAATATAAAGAAATCTCGCAAGTTCTTGGAAACTTGCTGGATTTATTCATAACATTAACAAACAATCCGACAAAGGCTCGAACCAATTGACAGCTACCAGATATCAGACTGTGACATTTGTAAATCCACGAAAGCCCTGAGAGATCGTAAAGTCGTTGACGATACTCTTAACTGAGATAGCCCTCACGAGGAAATTGCCTCGAGTGTTATGCATGGATGCACTATCAGAATGAAATATTACTTTTCTCGCGATATTTCAAATGGGTTAACGATAACGGAGAAACTGTAAAAACTATTGAAATGTAAATCAATCACTGATAATAACATCGAGAAAAAAGAACGAGCGAGCAGTAAGCTGAAAAGAAATCTAATTGAGCTTGCGACAAGCATTTATTCTGCGTGGAGAAGGATCATCCCGAGCTAGATGTATATTAGAGTTGGCGTATGAAATCGAACGGAAGCCGGTAAGCGAGCGAGAGAGAGAATGCAGCCGTCGTCGTTCCGGCTGTCACGAGCTGTGGGGCTGTGGCGTGTGTATATCTTGCCTATACCTACGTGATCGCCATTTCGAATGTTATTTGTGCGCCAAAGGAGCAAAGGCCTTTAATTGTTCGACGCTCTGTGAATGTGTCGTTAATTTTCCGTAAAAGGATTTTATAGAGCGACAGAGGTGAGAGCTACAGGGCGCTTTTATGGCACGGTAGTTTGGACTTGAGTCCCTTTTGAATAATCTGCGCTAGTGAGCGTCGCGTTTAGTGGATTTACGGCAGACTTTGAGCTTTTTTAACTGGTATTTAAATGAACTCATTTTCGATGCACATTTCAGAAGCTCATTTCACCTTATCTCGCATCTTTATTCAAAGACATCTTATCTGTGAAATATAGCAAACAAAGAAAACGAAAAACAGGAGCCAACTTTATCAGCGACCAGAATATACTTTAAATGGCCATGGGAGAGCGAAAATAACCACTGTCGATGCAATTCAATAATTGACCGGTCGATAAAATAGCCTTCATTTCATTCCCTTGCTTTGCCATTGATTCACGTCGAGATACCGATGACTTGAACCTGCGCGCGGCGCGATTGCATTGTTGACAAACATTGAGCCTTATAGGAATTTAAAGGAACTCCCGTAGAGTTTACTCAGTAGTTTTGATTCCGCTGCAGCGCACTCTGCTATTTATTTTTTCGAGCTGGGGCACGACTCCTAGATGTATAGAATATCCAGCTAATTTCAAACTAACTCTCTGAAAGATGCTGCAGTCGCTGCGTTCAACTTGTAGCCAAGTTTTCTTTCTCCACACTACAAAAACTGTTCATCAATTAAGAAGCTTCGCCCTTGAATCAAGTGTGCAGCAAAATCAGAACTTGCTTTTTCAACTTTCTGCGTGCTTACAATGAAAACTGTTTTTGTAGTGTACGCGTGTTTTGTACTTGAATTCTGTTTTTTAATTATCCACGAAAAGTGTGCAACGAATATACGTACTTACGTACAATTTTAACTTTTCTAGATGAACGGGAGGATGTTCAGAAAAAGACTTTTTCCAAATGGATTAACTCGCAGTTACTTAAAGTAAGTAACTTTCTTTGTGAACCTCAAAAAAACATCGTTAATAAAAATTTACTATCACTTGTTGTGTAAACATAGCCAGATAGCGTGAATGTAAAATGCTTAATCAAAATAATTTATCTATGGTGCGGGATGTATGTATGAGAAAAAAATTCGTATCCGTAATGCCCATAGCTAATTTTACCAAAAAATGATAATAAAATAGATCTATCTAATTTTTCAGAATCAACATGATCCAGTGACAGATTTGTTCTTGGATCTTCGAGACGGCAATAGATTACTATCTCTACTCGAAGTCTTGACGTCTAAGTCATACGTAAGTTTTAAGTTTGCGAAAATTCATGTGAAAGTGTCATCGCTTTTAGTGTATAATTTATTTTTAGAAACGTGAACGCGGTCGCATGAGGGTCCATCACCTCAACAATGTAAACAAGGCGTTGCAAATTTTAGAACAAAACGCCGTAAGTACTTTATTCCCATCATTCAGAAAAATTACCATCAATTAATCGTACCGACTCGTCGATATTTCAGGTGAAGCTCGTAAATATCAGTAGCAATGATATAGTCGACGGCAATCCCAAATTGACCCTCGGCCTCGTTTGGAGTATAATACTTCATTGGCAAGTGCATTATCATCTGAAAGATTTGATGAACGAGTTGCAACAAACAAACTTAGAAAAAACTTTGCTCGCTTGGTGTCGACAAAACGTACAGAATTACGAGGGTGTTGATATAAAAAATTTCACGACATCCTGGTCCGATGGTTTGGCTTTCAATGCTTTACTGCACAGGTGGAGGCCGAATTTATTCGACTTCAATGCCATCGCCAAGAAACATCCAAATGCTAGACTTGATCATGCCTTTCGAGTGGCTCAGGAGCACCTTAGCATTGAGAGACTACTCGACCCTGAAGGCAAGTTCTGCTATTTTTTCTTTGTTATATTGAAGTTGTGATTGTAGAACTATATATGCGTATCCACTTGTCCAGTAGATTTTTTACGTAATAGCTATCTGTTTACGGTGGATAAAGGATATGTTTGTTCTACTGTGAAAAAAAAAATGTTATTGTATTTTTTTATGCATTTGAATTATATAATGATTATCCACAACTGCACTTACAAATAACGATAGGTTGAAATTTTTCAGTTAATATTCTGTTTAATCGTGCTCTCAGCTGTATGTGTTAAAATAAACGCGTATTCATTTATTTTGTAGATGTTAACACGTCTGTTCCCGATAAAAAGTCCATATTGATGTACGTGACTTGCTTGTTCCAATCGTTACCGCACTCCGGTGAGGATGTCGAGGGAATCGACATTTCGGCGGCAAGTGATTCGGGATCCGCTGCCACTACACCGGGTTTTGAGGTAAAACAAAATTATCCGATACTGCGCACTTCAATAAGTGTGAATTTTTTTTAATATTCAAATTGTCTTTACTTCGGTAAAATAAAGTTAAAATAAAATAATTAATCTAACGAATGTAAGCATTAGTTAATTCATTAATTCTCACCTTGCAGCAGGCAACGGTATCATTTCCGCAGTTTCCACTGTACGAACCACCAAGTTCACGGCCAGTATCCTTAGCTACCAACGTGTCAGTGGAACTAGGAGGCTATCAAATGGCACTCGAAGAAGTATTAACGTGGCTACTGGAAGCCGAAGACATATTGAATCATGCACCCGAGCCAGGACCGAGTCTCGAGCAACTTAAACGACAATTTCACGAACACAGTGGCTTCGTCAATGAACTCTCGGGTCATCAAGATGGTGTGAGGACAGTTCTGGAAGAAGGTGAACGATTGATTAACGATGGGGGTTTACAGAAGGACGAGGAACGCGAAGTACGCGAACAGATGCGTCTGCTTAACTCGAGGTGGGAGGGACTCAAGAAGAGAGCAGTCGAGAGAGAGACTAGGATCCAACAGGTGAGAATTGAGCATTTCCGGCTCTGCGGACAGGCAAGATAATTGTCCGATGAAATGACTACAATGAGTGATTTGTTATTTATATGCGAAGATGTAATTTATTTGTGAGGTCAATTATAAAAGAATTGTCAAGGTGAAGTCAATATTTGATGAAGGATCATTATTTTTCCTAAAACCGTGTATTACATTTTTCGTAAATAAGAACGGATTTTACAAACGTTAAAATTAATTTCCAATAATTAAAAACTCACAAAATATACAATTATTTGTTAGGCTCTGATGGAAACTCAACAAACCCAATTAGATTCTCTACGCCAGTGGCTAACAAAAACCGAGGACCGAATATCGCACATGGCCAGTCAAGACAATAAGTTACCACTCGAGGAGCAACTAAAACAACTGAAAGAATTAGAAGATGACATAAAAGTCCAACAAGCAGTTGTCGACGGGTTAAACAAGATGGTCGTAGTCGTCGACGAGGAGAATTCGGAGACGATATATGCACAGATGCAAGATCAATTGTCTGCGCTCGGCGAGCGTTGGGCACACATTTGCAAGTGGCAGCAAATACGACAACAGAATTTGCGAGCATTGTCATCGTTTTGGGACGAGTTGACAGGTACCTATAAGAAACTCGTATCGTGGCTCAATCAGACGGAAATAACACTCAAACAAATGGAGGCACTGCCGGCGTCCGAGATCGGACAAGTACTCGAAAGAATTAAAAAGTTGCAGTTGCTAAAATTGGAAATGGGTCTAGTGCAGAATAAACTCAGTAAATTACAAAAGGACATTCAAGATTTCGAGGGACACAGCTCTAGCTCGGAGTGCGTTGATATGTTGGAAAAATTTGAGAATCTGGCAGATCGTTGTGATGCTGTTAATGCTATTATGGAAGTTCAAAGTCAAAGAGTAAGTATATTAAACAAATGGTTTTATGAAAACAAAATCTTTAAGTTAGTACTGAATCTTTATTGTAGATATCGAATTCTGGATTTGAAGTGGATTTATCCGACACCCAAGTAACTTTATCATCGAGTGACTGGAGTGATTCGATAATTGCGAACGCCAGAAAAGAAGAAATTTCAGGAATGTCACCGGCTCACAGTGATTCGAAGAAGCGAAAAATAGATAGCGTAACGAGACAAGATTTCGAAAAAGCTTTATTGGATCTTTATAAATGGCTAGACTACGTAGAGTTAGAAATAAGCGGCTCAAAGGGCGCATTTGACTTATTGACCGTTGATGAAAAAAAGATTGTACACGAGAAAATAATGGAGGATATAGATTCTCACAAAGCCGAATACGAAAATGTTATCAAACTAGGCAAACGTCTTGTCGACGAATTGCAAAGTATTAATGAAAATACCGATGACGAGGCAGCTAAGATTAAAAATATAGAAACTTGTTGGTCGATGACCAATGCTAGGCTAAGAGAGATTAAAGACACAGTGGACGTACTGTTGAAAGCGAAAGAGTGTAGGGTAGAACTGACTAGCTTAAAGTTGATGCTAGAGGGGCACTCTAAGTGGTTTGATGTTAATCAAAAGGGTACTCAAATCGAACTCTTCAGGGTAAGCGAAAGCTTTTGTACAAACATTAGAAATAAATATTTTTTTAACTTTATTTTATTTTATTTAGGTTAAAGTAAAATCAATGAAGTCATGTAAAGATCGTGTTGAGAAATTAGAGAAGACAACAACTGAATTAGTTGAGGCTGACAGTAAAGGCCAAGATGAAGTTACGTCGTTGAAAAATGACGCCAATTTATTCGTTAAAGACTGGAATAATTTACTGACAAGGTAAGATCAATGTTTAATACAATGTATTGATATTAATTTCAAGTATTAATTTATGCTTTTACGTATTCCAGATTGTCTAGTAAATTAAATGAATTGAGCAACGTGGCCGACAGAACACCTTCTAAAAAGTATATCGAAACGATGACAACATTAACTACGTTTATCAATAATATCGATAGCGTTCTTCTTTCTGAACACGCTGTTATGTCCGACGAAAAAACAATGCAAGATAGAGTCAAACGGTTTCAAGAACTGCAAGATACTTTAAGATCTCATCATATAAATTTTACATACGTCAACAAAGTCGGTCAAGATTTAATATCGAAAATGGACAACGACGAAAAAAGTCACAACATTAAAGAGGAACTCCAAGATCTCAACACAAAGTGGAGTGATATTCCGATTATTCTTGAAGAAAGATTGCAGAAACTTTCGAAAGGTATACATTTTGTAACAAAATATTTAAAAAAATGAAAGTCTTTATCTTACAACGTTATTTTTAATTTAGATATCGAATCTTTAAAAGTCTTCGCACAAGAACTAAGTAGTCTAAAAGACTGGCTGGACAGGTCAACAGCGCATCTCCAAGAGATCGCCGAAGATTCCGCGATAAAAGACGTGGAAACTACAGAGTACAAACTCCGGCAAGTTCGAGACCTTACCGAAGAGATTAACAAGACAAAGCCGAGAATTGAAAATTTACAGACCGCCACTAATACTATGCTCGAGAATTCCGAGCCAAACTTCGCTACCGTTTTGAACGGCAAACTTGAGGCGGTTTTTCACAAGTGGAATTCCATTGTCGATGGTGCTAAGATGCAGGGCGATAAATATGAGAATGCTCTCAAGAAAAATGATGAAGTAAGTTGAATTTTATAATGGTTTAATTGAAAGACATCTTTATTGATTGTTTTAATAATTTGTTGTAGATTATTAATGGAATTGAAGATTTTACAAATTGGCTATCCAATCTTGAAACTGAAATTCCTGTAGAGGGCAAAATCACGTCCTCAGTTGAGTTATTCCAAGCTCGCGGTCGTTATCAAGTTCTTAAAGACAAAGTTGATCGGCGAGTAGAAGAATTTCGCAATTTAAACGAACTCGGCAGCGATAAGCTTCTTAGTTCTGAAGGTTCATCGGTTCATGAATTGGGCCGTCGTTTTACTTTTTTAAATGCTAGGTGGACAGACGTTACCGATCGAATATACGAGAGGTACAAACATTTTCAGAATGCTAGTCACGAGTACGGCGAGTTTCGAGCTCTCGTGGCTCAGGAAAGTGACTGGTTGGATAAACTAGAAAAGAGGTTGAAAAAGTCAAGCAAGAATGCTGCTGATGCTGAGGACATTTCTGAAGAACTTGATGTGAGTTTTCATTCATTAATAAATTTTCTGATCATTTGAATACAAAAAGTAAATTGGTACATTGATTTAGGATCTAGAGAATTATATTAGGAATCATCCAGATAATCGTTTCGAAAAACTGCAAGAAATTGGCAAACAACTCATCGACAACGACATCATGACTCAGTCGATTCATTCAGACGTAGAAGCTCTAATAAATCGGTGGGAAAGTTTGCACAAGCAGGTAACGTATCATTCGCATAATTAATCATTCTCTACTAACCTTGTTAAAAAAGTAACGATAAGTTCATTTTGAATACTATTTTGTTAACTAATTATATCCGAAATTGTTCCACTTGAGCTTTTAAGATAACTGCATGTTGTGCGGTGATAAATGAATCATCCCATTTGAGAAACGACGTGTAAATAATAAGTGAGAATGGTGGTTGAATCGTTCGAGTTTAGGCAGGCGAACGAACGAAGTTACTGGAAGGATCAGTGAGACAAGCCGAGCAGTCCGAAGGTCGGATACTCGCCCTTCATCATTCGCTTACGCAAATTGACTCGGTACTAACAGCACGACTTGACTGTGACCTCACTGCTGATGATTTGCCTCACGATTACCAGGTCTGTTCTCTGCATCTTATTTGTCCTTTTCATTTGCGGTTGTTAGTTGGGTTATTATTATGCGTGAATTTGTTTTTGGTAGTATTGAGGTATGTTTGTTAATGAAATTAATCAATGTTCAACTGAATCCTTTCAATGAGTGAGGCGTGATTAAAGTTACATGTAGAACGAGAAAACAGTCGTGCTATTTGAGCATCACGTTTTATTCCGATAACACGAGTTGGAAGGATAGACAATATATCATGGTTAAATGTAATTCATTCGAGTAATAATTCATTATTAACATAAAAAAATGTTTACGAAACAATTAATATCCACACATTCGATAAATGTTATAAAAATGCCATAAATATCATAACATTTCTAAACTCTGTAACCAAGGTCCAAAGAGTATACATTTTTTTGACAAAACATCATTCACAACGAAAACTAACTCTCACACACAAGCAGAAACTGGTCGACGAGATGGACAGTCATCAAACAACACTAGACGACATGTCAGCTCAAGTCGAAAGCTACAAAGCAGCAGGTAAACTAGAGGCAGCGCAACGTCTACAGGAGCAAACTCGTTTGATACGTCAGAAGTTTGCCGAGGTGCAGAACAAGTTCCAACGTTTCCGTAGTCCGACAAGCATCGAGCCACGATTATCTCGAGCTTTACGCGAGCTCAGGGGTATTGAAGAGGCTACGTGTTTGCTTGAACTTGCCACCGAAGACCCTGATGCTATCGAGCGACAGCTCAAGCACTGTTTGGTTAGTGGAGAAAGAACAAAAAAATATATTTGGCGTTACAGAGTAGTGCTTATCTCGAGTGCTGGCTATTGACTTATATTCTTTCTGTTTGCAGAGGTTCTATCAAACATTAAGTGAAATCAAGAGCGAAATTGAAAGTATCATTGTTGCTGGCCGTAAACTTGTTGAAGAAGGTAGTATTTCAGAGCCAGACAAATTTTCTAAACGTATTGATACTCTCAAGGAATTGTATAATAAGGTACTTGAATTTTTTTTAAACTCTATAAAATATATTACAGCGCCTTTTGGTTCACAAACTTATACGAATAAGTTGATTATATTTAAATATTTTAAATAGCGCACTGTTAACTAGTTCAAGTTTTTTACTTAAATAATTCTTATATTTTTTTTACGTAACTATTTTTTTCTTCTTATAGCTGGGTATGCAAATATCCGAGTCGAAAGCAGTACTTGAGTCTGCGTTAGAGTTGTCACGTGATATGTATGAACAAATGTCGTACATAAATATGTCTATTGAAAATATTAACAAGGAATTAGATACGCAAAGGCACAAACCTGACTTACCAATCAATGCAATTTATGTTACGGTACAGATAATTTCATTAAAGCGATTAGAATTATAATAGGAAAAAATGTAATCGATTTTTTTCTTATGCAGGAAACGCTCACAGAGGTAATCCCACGATTGAATGCCGTGAAGGATAAACTTTGCAGAACGCAAGATGAGTTTTGTAAACTTTGTGATCCAAGTTACCTCGAGCAGCTTAAAGAAAAGCTCTGTGATATCATTGATAGACTTGCTAATACAGAAAGTCGACTACGACTGTGTAACGGATCTGAGGTATGTTAAACTAACATGCAGGTGCCCAATTCACGTGCTGGATGAATTTACATTTTTATTTAACTCTCCGATTATTTTCTGTTTCAGACGGAGCCAAATGTAGATGAAATTAATGCGTGGCTTTCGAAATTAGAAAATAAATTAGGTCAGTTGGAAAGGGTGCCTGTTGACCAATTTAATGAAGGACAATTTGAACAGTGTAAAGTAAGAATTTTTTTTATTTATTTTGTTTCTTTATATGGGATAAATTTTATTGAAGCTGTCGAAATATACGTTCATGAAATTGCTTTCTTCTAGGCTATACAAACTGAAATATTAGAGACCAAACCAATAATTCAACAACTTCAGCATTATTCGTGTCATCCTAATGTTGCTGAGGTTTGTAGACGATGGGAAATAATTTTCAGCAGAATCCAGGTAAGTTTTTATTGGTTAATTATCCATTTTCAGTTACACAACTTATGAAGCATTAAAATAACATGATTTTGTCATCTAATTGCACGCTTAAAAAAAAATAACAATGCATAAGTTGTGTCGCTTATGTTTGCTTTTTGTTCTCATGCTTTTGCTTATATAACATTTACCACCGGAATCGCCTATCATGACGGTACATTTTTATTTACCGTACCACTTGCAAGCCACACCAACCATCGACGATACACAAGTTTTCTAAAGAACTATTTTTCTCCATGTGAATATTTTGAAAATTAGATAAGTCATGAGACATACTGTGTCTAAAACTCATTTTAGCTTTAGTAATATATAATGTAAAATTATGTCTTAACATAATTTGTGTAAAAATATGCATATATTTTTTTGATTATCGGTGACACTAATGATTAACAAAATTGAAAAACTCATTGCTGTATTTGTAGAAAATATTATGTTATTATCGTTTACGTATATGTATCGAATATATGTTAATAATAGTTTAAAGTTAGATTCTGCTAGCTGTAATATATTTCTGTAATTATATTTATGTAGTAGATTTTATTTTTGCTACGCATAATTGTTAGATAAATTAAAAAGCGAATGTGTTAACAATACAAAAAAAACAAATATGTACCTATATTTATATGCAATCGATAAGCTTTCAAAATATTCACCTGTCGATCTGAATCAACGAGGTAATGGGACCAAAACGTTGGCCGAAAAAGTGAGCGAAAGAGAATCCTTGTGTAAAATATGTATGAAAGTATATTCTGTCAATAAAAAATGCATAAATGTCAGTTATAACCAATTGTAGGTGTAAACGTAAAAAAGCACTTGATCCGATAATAAAAGTCAGCTTCAATATTTGTCTGTATACCAACTGCCACGGACATTTACAATTTCGATTTCTGTTGTGAAATGTGATGATAGAACAAAAATACTTGTCTCTCCATGACGTGGAAAAATAAGTATGGACAGATATGTAACATTGTTCCTTCTCCCTTCCTCCATCGGTGTTGTAATAGACATATTATACCCACCTTTGAAAAGAAAGAGGGTGACACTTGTAAAGCGGAAACAGCAAAATGGTCGGTGAATGCATTGGTGATGGATACATAGGCGCGAAAGTGCCAGCGGTATTTTACTCCAGAAAATGCTTGCGGAATGTATTTTTCTCCTCTGCGAACCAAAAAAACAAAAGTTTTGAAATGTGTTTTTTTTTTGTACCTTTCCGCCTTTTGTACACCTGTTTTATGGCTTTTTATTTAGTTTTAAACGTTTGGTATTGAATTTCTTTGTTAATTATATACAATTAATTGAGCATGCTTTTTTAAAAGAACTAAAATTTTAATTATTTTTCATTGACAAAGTTATTGACAATTGTTGATTTTTATTTTGATAATAATGAAGATTAAATTTTTCATCTTCAAGCTTTAACTTCAATATTATTCTTGAATTCGAAACTTAATTTTAAAAATACCACCGAAGCGAAAATTTCTCTTTCAGAAAGTCTTCCTATTTTCCCTCTATCGCCTGATTTCCGCTGCTTGTCGCCTTATTAAATTTTCCGAATTTCTAAAGAAAACAATTTTTTTTCACGAGTGCGTGCGAGACAAAGCAAAGTTGTAGAAGTGACGCGCATGTTGTATCGTATTTTCGCAGGAATGGATCCACAGGATCACAGATAATTTGTTAATTAGCTCTAAGGGTCGGGACTGTCGCAATGCAGCAGCGTCATCATCATCGCCAGCCAAAGTGGTATCACTTGCCGACGACAACGATGACGCCCACGACATGTACGGCATAGGGTATCTCAACCCAGCTTTCGACGAGAACAACGTCCGGGGAATCGCTGGCAATACTGGTTCGCACAACAATAAACATCAAACATTAGATGATAGATCATCATTTTTACTTATCATACGGATTAGTGTGCGTCTTGTTAGGTTGCTTTTACAGCAGAATATTACGCGATTGAATTCCTTTCATACTGCGTGTGTTTTTGGTAGGCTTGCTTCAATGATTTCAAAATAATTTTGCAAGTTATATAGAGATTGTAGCTTTCGCGTTTTCATTAAGTTCGAGTTTACGGCAACTGATTATAATATGCTTTCATTTATCGAGAGTCGTTTATTTTACGAATACTTACTCAACCGTACAAGTTGAAGAACTCCTTGAAAGTAAAGATTCAACGAAAAATTTGTTACACATATCCCACGACAGTAAAATCTCAACTGAGCTGTACGCGTAGGCACATCAATAATCACACCAGAATCGTCGCCGATCGAAGTAGCGATGCGCAGCCACAAGTCTTCGTCGAAACCCGAGCGGACGCGGATCATCGACGTGAGCCGTACAGTCCGACGTCGACTCAACATGAGCTCTTCCGTGCTCGATGTTGTGCAAATCTCCCAACAGCAGCAGCAGCAATCAGTAGAGCACGACGAAGACGAGTTCTTCCTGTCAAAAAATAGCAAACTTTTTTCGCAAGTCGAGTCGAACTCGCTGCAACAGAGCAACGAGTCACAGCAGCAACAGCAGCAGCAGCAGCAGCAGCAGCAGGAGAGACGGGCTGATTGTCAAGTTGTCGAAGTGAAGGCTATGGAGATTGTCAAGGCTGTCGCGGCAAGTACTACCGAGGATCGGGTTGTCTTGCCGAAAGCTAATTTTAGCGTACAGCAGGTGCCACAGGTACGCATGCTGATTATCATTGCGTTAGCTCATGATTAAGTCGATAAAGTACACGACAAATTATTATTTAAAAGTTAACTTTTATCACTTAACTGATGTAAGAAAATGCAAATAAAATAAATCTGAGCAATGCGAAGCTTGTAGTTACAAGATACTTGCACGTACATAGGTGGTAGAGCGTGTCGAGATTGTGGAAGATACAGAAACCGAAGCCGAATCCGGGGACACCGATCCGGACGAGCGTGAAAGCTTGAAACAAGCAGCATTACCGCTACCTACGCCACCAAAGAAGGAACTCGTGTCGATTCTAAAGCGTAACAATTCCGCCGAAACAAATCAAAAGGAACTTTGCAATCTACTGGGCGAAACGTTAGAAGTAGGTTCGCCCACGTGTTACTTGCAGAAAGCTAAGTTACCGCTCGTTACGACAACACCACAAGTCTCTAAAACTCGCATCGACACCGAAAGTGTGGCCGAGTACCTGATACTCGACGATGGTGAACGACCTGCATTACCAGCGCCGAATTTCGAGACGGACGACGAGGGGAATGCTGCCAGTGGTGCACGTAGGAAAATGCCAAATGCTAAGGAAGTGACATTTGCTGGGAATGATGGTGACGATAAAGGATCACCGGTTGCCAAAAGAACCAGAGTCCAAAGATTCACGCCCACCGGCCAAGTCAGAGAGGATTGCGACAGCTTTTATGGCAGTGATAAGGAAACTGACGACGCGTTGATTTTCTCTGACGATACTGAGATTGATGTGGGCAGCTCGAGCTCCGATGACGGTGACGTCAAGCGAGACGATTACCATATGCCGGATAAGGTAGAGATTTTTAGATGAGGGATAGGAATGGGATTGTGGCTTGTCGAGTGGTATGTTTCGATTGATAGTGTTTAAGCTAGTCTGCAGTTTGAATGTCTGATGAGATTGTTAATTGTAATAAAATTTTGTCTGGTTGAACATGCTTCTTGCATTCGCTGAAATTTCAGGCATTGAATAATTTATTCAATTGAAGTCGTCTTGAACGTTGCTCGAAACCAAACTGAATGAAGACTAACAAGCCTCGAGAAATAAATTGAAACACCCTTTGGTTGTTAAGGTTTATCTTCTGACGAAAAGAGACGATTGTACAAACGAAAGTATCCTAATTTCTAAATGAAAAAGTACTAATCTCTAGAAGTAATTTGAAAAGTTTTCCATTGCAAAGAGATGCACGACAATCAGCGAAAGGAAATTTGATTAAAAGCTCTCTCGCGAGTACTTAAAATTCAACTGAGCGAACGCGCGTATAGGGGACTGAATGTTTATTGCCAGTACAGTCAAACTTATTCGATTGTCGCTCTCTTGTCGTTCAGGGAAAACGAGCAGGGAGAAGCGCGCTTTCGCTTCACTTGAGCGTAAGTCGATTGTTACGTGGACGAGAGCTTCTCGTTGATTCAAGTTTAAGCCCAAAACTCGATTGTGAGTTAACTATCTTTTAAGAAATTTTCGAGTCTTCAGATCAGTATATCGGTTCACTAGAATATATTACACAGTTGGTTTTTTCATTCTTGTGTATATAATACGTATACAGAAAAGTTGTTAAATTTGCTGCTTTTTTAAAAATTTTTTTAAAGAACACTTTTTTTTTCAATGAAAATATTTTTCAAAAAAATTAATAAAACCAACCATTAAATATATTCAAGAGCATTGATAAGCTAATCTAAAATCTTGAAATGTTCTTTAAGCATATTTTTCTTGAATTATTTTAGAAATAATTCAAGAACAGTGTGTACTCAGGTGTGGTTTTCTCTCTCCTGCTCGGGCGCCTCCTTAGCATGACGTATAATTTATGCCTTGGGAATTCTAACAGGATGATTACGCCGTTAGTATGCTGTTGCGCGTCGACGATTACGAACACCGTGTCCATGAACCAAGAACTCCTTTCTTTTCTTTGCGAATCATCGGCTTTACCATAAAATACAAAAAATATTTTGTAGCCTCGAATAATCATTGATCGGAGTTAGAAAATGCTTAAAGCTGGTCGAGCGAATATTAATCCGAGTCAACGAGAAGTGAATCTCGAGAAAATCGCAACTTGATCGGGCGAGCCGTCTGCACTTCCGCGTCGCACGCACGCATCGCAATCTACGCTGCACTTTCTCTAAAATTGCGCTAGCTCGCAGGATATGCTTTACGTATTTGCGTACTCATAGCCGGATTGATTTTTCTTATCGGTGTCCAATGATACTAGCTGCCGGTGAATAATCATAGCGGAAATTAAGGGAGCATAACGCAAGAATTATGAGGTGCTTACAGCGTCGATGACCCCCGATGAAAATTTTTGATGGATAATTGCGCTGTCTCACGCCAAATTGCCTGATGTTGCAAGATGCTAATAAATACTCGCTACCCTTCGCTTTTTTTCCTCTGAAATTTATTATTGTAAAATTATTGTCAAATACGCAAATTTTAGGAATATTTTTTTGCAGTGACGAAAAGGCAAACTATGTCAATTTCAATTCTTAAATTAATATGACATTCAAACTGCAAGATTATCATATCAATCACAGACAACTATTAAAATAAACTATCAATATAGTATAACATCTAATCATCACCAATTCATACTAACAATAACAATCCCGCTCAAAAAAATCACATTCGCATTCAATTGATCCAATCGAATATTTGGAAACAGATTAAAATAGAAAAGGTTCATCAGCGCATATCGAGCAACGTTCACGAGAGAAGCTCGGCGACCGAAAAAAAATTGCTCCCAACGACGACTGGCCGAGTATCAAGAGCAGCCCTAGGAAAAGAAATAATCGAGTTCGAAGACTTGGCACAGCAGATGCTCAAGCGAATGGATATCATGCTCATGACCGTCGGTGGGCTCAACAATGAGAAAGATCCTAGTAAAAGACTCGAGGTATCACTTTTCTTAATGTATCTTTTGTTTAGTTGTACTGATTTTAAATTTTTACGAATACCTTGCGAATAATAAAATAAATTATGTACGTCGATATTGTATTAATTTTAATAGCAAGCTGAAAATTGAATTTGAAATATAACCTAATTACGCCTCAATTTATTTCTTTGTAGATCCTCAAAGGTGAGATCAGCTGTCTAGCCCCTGACGCAGCAACCCTGATAAGCCGTGGTGACGGTCTAGTAATGACAGTGCATGCGAGTGACCCAAGCCGAGCTGAAAAAATAAAACATGAACACCAGGACAAACTGCGAGGCAAATGGCATCAAGTAATGCAAGAGTGCGAGACGAAACGAACACAAGCATTGAAAGCCGAAGACTCGTTACGTGTTTACAATCAACTGATCAACGAATTGGAGGATTGGTTCCGCATTGCATATCAGAAGTTGGAACAAGCGAATAATTACGAAGGACAATTAGAGGCATTCACGATTGAGTTTGATACCAGACAGGATCAAATTAAAAAGCTCTCTCAGTGCGAACAGGAATTGAAGAAATTAAATGTTGGCCACAATGAGAATGCGTTTTACAGTATTAACAGTAGGTGGCAAGAAATTAGCTCGCAGTTCAAGAGATTCAGTGGTAGTAAGGATAAGGATAAGCAACATTCCGATAAGAAAGTTGAACTGGTAAGTTTCTCTTTTAATTATTTTTATAAAAGAGTGCATTCGAGTTTTTTTTTCTTAACTTTCGGTTGATGCTTTGCAGCCCATGGGCGGTATAAGTGAGCAAGATTTCATGGCACGTGCAAACAAACTTCGTGAAGCAGTTGCCACTCTTTCAAAATCTCTTAACTCAGCACCGCTGAACGGAAAAGACTTCGAAAGATTTACCGAGCAAGATGACTGTCTGAAGAAAATCAGCAGTGCCTTGAACATGTTGAAAGCAAGTGTCGAAGAGATGAGCTACTTGTGGGAAAATGTCACCGATAACGAAGTAGCTTGCCATCACAATGAAAGTCTCAAGAACGAATGGACAATCGTTAATCAATGTTATATCGAGCGTTACAATCGATGGGCCAAGTGTAACGAAAAACTCAATGAGCTGAGAAACGCGTGCTGGAATTTTGACGATCAACTGTTGAAGATGGAAGCGAGTGTGAAAGATGTTGCTGTAAATCCGCATATTAAAGTTAATAAAGCGAGAATGCTAGAGCTGGATCACGAGATGCCACTAATGTTGAGAATGATGAATAATATTAGCGTGACTATGACTGATGTTACTAATAGATCCTCATCTGCGGATGTTAAGGAATGGCAAAAGGTTATTGATGATTTGAAGACTCGTTGGCAGAGATTCGTTACCGAGTGGAATATTCAGAAGAGCAGGTTTGTTTTTTTTTATATTTTCATCAAATTCTTTAACAGATTATTCTGTAAATTTTTCAAATTTTCTTCGACGCTAAAATTTTTTTTATCGAGGTACTCTAAATAAACATTGCTTTTTTACGACTCGTTCAGCAGAGCAATGAATGTGAATAACAAAAAGAGAGTAGCAAAATTGCGTATCTGGGAATTCTGTGAAACTCATCACAGAGGACATGCATAGCATACTATAGCATAGCTTACATATTTACGATTCGCGTCTTTGGAGGGCCAGGGAAAATACACGATTTCCTCGTTGCTTGCGCCACACGGAGATGGCTATTTCAGTTCAGAGCGCGCGGCTTGAGCTTGTCGGCGTACGACGAGAACGAGAGCGAGTCGACCGTTCGATGTCTTGACCCATCGACGTATTATCCATATGTTGACCCGCGTTAAGAGAAATTTGTACTCTCGCTTTGCCAGGTCAGCGACTATGGGCAAGCATCGTACACCCAAGCAGATACTCGATGGAGCTAACAATCTGGTATCGCAAGTCAACTCGTTGCTGGTGTCAACTGCCAATCCATCTGATGATACCTCGCTTTCCATCCGGCATTCCATGGTTAAGGTGAGTTTTAATTTCTATTATAAATACTATTACAAAAGTTTTAGCTAAATTATTAGTCTGACGTAAGAATAATTAAAAATGAACAAGGCATAGTACGTTAATGTGTCAATTGTTCATTTCACTATGATTATTTTATACTTAATGAATATCTTACGAATGTTTGATAATAAAATTAGTAATAATCAAAGAACTTGCGAATCAAATTTGAAAATGTCAAGTTCCCATTCACACAAATCCGTTAGCACGTAAACGATTACGCGAGGCTTTCGTCGTTTTTGGTGAGAAAGTTTCGCACGCTAACTGAGGTACAAGAGAGAAGAGAGAGAGAAAGAGAGATAGAGAGAGAAATGAGATGCCCAGAATAGAAAATTTATCTCTAACAGCAAGGCAAACGTGGCGTTGCTCTGTTTTTGCGCTCGCTTTTCATGATAGTAGGTACAGAGCTGCTCATCCGCTAATTTTGGATTTTGCCACCCGTAAATAGATGCTCGGTTATTGGACAGCCTTTATAATTCGCCCATTCGATCAATGAACTCTTTCTCTTGATTTAAGAATGAGAGATAAATACATATGCATTCGAAATTGACATGATTTTTTCTTATTTTTTCAGGCACGGGAAAAAGAGCTTGCAGATCAAATAAAAGAAATACAAACGTTGAAAAACCAACAAAATGTGAACGTCAGTGATGAAGAGTGCAATAAAATTATCGCTAATTTAGAAAAGGTGATTACAAACTGACACTTCTGTTAATTCAGTGGTTATAAATATCATCCAAACTTACATCCACACCTCCGTATATCTTCGTGAACGACGGTGTGATTATTTATTAACTAAGTCCGGCTTCTGTTGCAGGCTCACGCGGGTATGTTGGCCCACAAGGAGTATGTGGAGAGTAAATTGACTTCGCTTAAGAAGTACGTGCAAAGTTTGGACGCGGTTATGGCCTGGGTGATAGAGACTCGAGAGAGGCTCAACCTCGCTCGCGATCTTCCTGAGCAGGATCGTACTAAAGCCATCGACGTTATTATGGTGAGTGAAGGGGCTTCTTCAATAAATGTTTTTGTATTGTTGATTTATTGAGATTCATCAAGTTAAAAAAGCTACATTTTTATTTGCATTAAAATTAAATATGAGTTTCACAAAGTTGTAAATAACGGAATCAAAATAATATGAGTTTAATGGTTGATCCTTTTGGAATTGTAGGCAAGCGTCGAGGATCGCCAAATGGAAGTGAAAGACGTATTGGAGAATTATACAAATCTAGAAAAGGAATGCGAGTCTGCAAAACAGACTGTCTCCATTGAACTTCAAGTATACTTTCTTAACTCATTCTAGTTTCTTTCAATTTGTTGTTGATTGATTAACAATTCTGGTTTCAATATATACAAATTTTATTTTCAATTCAATAATAACTTTCAGGAAAAATTAAGGAAACTAAGAGACGACTGGAATTTACTAAAAAATCACGGTGACATAGAAATAGAAGCTGTGACAGCAACTACACCGGTACAACATCGGGGTGAGTACTTTTTCGCAATATATTTAGAAAGGACAAGCAAATTTTTGTTATGTGACGAGCTTCCTCCTGTGTCCTGCGAATAACTTACGCATCCCCCCAAAAAAATCGTAGAATAAGACCAAAAAGTAGAGAACTGCGTAAGTGAGGTAAAACCAGGCGACGTAATGTTGGTCAAAGTTATCATCTAAGTCGTCCATCTTCTTTAACAAATCAACAAAATATATGTTATTATTCTTATTGAAAGATTAGTGATAGATAAATTTCATCTCAAAGATAGTGTTAAGTTTATTATGTGAGTGCAACAGTCGCGTGTTTTCAGTATTTCGCATTTAATCTACCTCTACAAAAAAGATTGCGATCATATATTTCAATGAAAATAAAAATTTTCTACTTTGGTATCTTAATAAATAATCTAATCTCAAAAAATTATCTTCAGTCGAATCATTGATCAATGAGCCACGAAGTTGAATGAACTCGAAGGAAAGAAAAAAATTATCTTGAAGCTTTTTGGCCCTTCGTTTTCGGAAGTTTAAATCCTCACAGCTGGGATTTGTTAAATCGAAAAATTCGATTGCCGAGGATAAGAGGGATAGAAGGGTGTAAGGTGAACGCGCTCGCAGCTAATCGAACGAGCAGCACAGCGGCTTCTACTACTATACCTCGGCGTGCACGCGGCGTTGGCAGCGGCTGCGAAAGGGTGGTTCTGGCAGGTTGCAGCCACTTTCCGAATTTATCGCCGTCCCGCCCATTAAACTCCGTCGCTCTTTCGGTTTTTTTCTTCTTTGCCTTAATTTTCCCTACTCCTTGCGTTTCGTGACGGGTCATTGTGTGAAATCTTCTTCCGTATATACATATATATATTGAAATTTTACCTTTTCTTATGTTTTGACTACCGTACCGTATCTATATTTGCCATCCTATGTTCTTTTCATCATTGTTCAAAAGACTAATTCGATTGTGTTCTTGATCCTAGATATGTATTCTTGGAGATATTCGTGTCAAGTGATAAGTTTGTGTTAGTAATATTCATCAATGTGTGTAAACAAATGAAATTCTCATGCGCGTATTTCTTTGTTATTTTTCCTCAGAGTAATATTTGCCGCATCGAAAGAATCTCTTATTTATTATAAAAAATGCATGGAAATAATCCGCTTCCGTTCTCTACCCAACTCAATCCACCCTTCATTGTTTTTTATGCTATCGCTCTTAGTTCATTTATTGCTATCCTTTTGACTTTGTCGTTGCTGCCGCGTATAGATGAAGTTTGTCCACTTCTTAATTTTTTTATCTTCTATCCGATGGAAAAATCTAGAAGCTGCGCGCTTCTGATCAATATATAGCTCATCTCCCGCTTGCAAGAATGTTTTTCCCCTCAGTGGACGCCTATCGCGTTATCTTTACTGTGTCGAAAAAGTAAGCGTTTTCTCGAGAGAGCGAGGCCATGCGCGCATGCTATTGACTCGCCAAATCAGATAATAGTTTAATTATTTCTTTAGTGTGTATAGAGTTGGAAGTAAGAAGGAAGTGGGCAGCATGGAGATTATATGAATTGCCAAGTGTTGTTCAGATTGATAATTTGGTCGTAGTTGATAACACTTCTTTTGAAAGAATCGAATTTTATTTATAATCAGAGCATATATATATTTCAGCTCAAAAGTCCTCGCTCTCCTTGAAAAAAACAATGAATTTTACCAACGAACCTACCCACTCGAAGTATGCCCTCACTTCGCATTTGCACGTCCTCTCGTTACTCCAAGCTATCTCTTCCTCTCTCTCTCTCTCTCTCTCTCTCTTTCTTTCTCTCTCTCCCTCTCTCTCTCTCCCCCTCTCCCTCTCTCTCGACTCTTGAAAAAAGAAAAGAAAATATAGTAGGAAACCTTCCGCGCGTAAGGTATATAGAACCTCCAAGGGTTGTAAGCATGTGCAGCTTCTCTTATCTACACCACGCACGGCACTTTATTCCTGCAAAAGAAAATAGTGAGTGGCTTAGTTTTCACGAGCTGGTCGCTAAAAATAAGGACCGCGCGTGCATGTGTGCAAACATGATTGAAGGTCTTTTTCATCCTTGGTGCACGAACGCTAAGTGCAGTCAATTTGTTAATATATTTTGAAAATTTCATTGGCTTTCGAAAGGCTTTTCATTGTGCAGCACACGATTCGGTACACCCGTGTCGTTTTTCGGGAGATACATAAATTGAAGCTGACGGGCTGAAGCTTTACATGGTCTACGTGTGTCCGACAGTAATGCTATTAAATGGGTGACGTATTCAAAATGCTTACGCGTCGAGAGGGGTGTGCAAATACAGGAAAGAACAAGAATCGCTACACTAACATTTTCACGATAAAAGTCGTACGTTAAATGTTACTGGAGAAATATAATGAAAGTAATAAACTGATGTAATGTCGTCAATGTGCGCTCACTTTACGCTAATACCCAACTGCAACATAAAGAAAAAGAAACAATTCATCTACCCCGACAACGAAAATAAAAAGAGAGTCCTTGCAGCACAAGCATTAATCGTACCAGCCGAATTAAACACAGCTTCAGCCAGAAAAAATCCAAAACCTCTCTCTGTCTCGCGAATGCAAGACGACAGAGGAAGCGAAGATTGTGGGGGGCACGGCCGCGGGTATACAGTGTGTACGTACGAAGGGAGGAAGGGAGAGGTTCTCGAGTAGCAACTGGTGCTGCTGGCGTCGCGCGGTCTGCAAAAGCAACGAGAGCCAGAGAGACTTCCCTGCGAGCATATAGTGACATTGACCGCCGGCGGTGGAGCGAGAAAGAGAGAGAGCGCGTTAGGGGTTTTCAAGCTCGACGCCTGCGCGAGGATCCCCTCTACCTTTACTATACACACGCAGAGGATGTGTCTTCAGGGATATGTATGGTCGACGAGAGTAAGAGTGCTGCGAGAATTATCATAAACGACTCCGATTGGTCTTTTTTTATTTGTAATTTATTCTTGGAGCTTCTTCAGAATTGGCTTTTAAATCTTTTGTAAAGTTCGGTTGCTTTGTTAGAGTACGGGACGACGCAATGGCTCAGCTGTAAATTTTCATCGCAATCACTAGGAATTAAGCGTCCCCTCGACAACATATACATTACAGACTAATTCTTCAACATTTATCAAAGTAGTCGAGAATTTTTAGAGAAAGAAATTTCACAACGATTCTCGATCATCGCTCTCCTCCCCGAACGCACGCGTAGACGCTCAAATTGTGGCGATATTTCTCGCTTGTCGCTTATCTCCCTTAAACTTCTCGCTTTCTCTCTCTCTCTCTCTCCTTCCCCCTCCTCTTCCTCTCTCTCTTACTTTCGTTTACATTTTGCAGGTTCGCATTTATCCTCCTTATACCTTGGCAGTTTCTCCCTTGGCCTTGTGCAAACTTTCTTTCCTTCTTTTCGAATTCTAGTCGGGAAAATTTTTGCTGCGTATTGTTGGAAAATACCTGAGAAAGATGAACCTTCGCGATACTTGCTCATTGGTATTGCCGTTTCTGCTTTGCTAAAAACATTGGCGAAAGAAAGACGAGGAGAAAAATCTCACTCTCGCCCAACAGAACGATCATTCAAGTACCGCTCAATAACAGATCTACACACACACACACACACACACACACACACACACACACACACACACACACACACACACACACACACACACACACACACAGACACATACAGGTGAGCGAGCAGTGTGAGAATCGTGTTCTAATAACTGCAACTCCGACACACACACAGAAAGGCTGTCATCTTTGTTTCGGAGTTTATTCTCCAACCCCGCTTTTCCCCCATTCCAGAGAGCTAGAGAGAGCGCCTTCCCCTTCTCCGCAGAGAGAAACACGAACACACACAAATCCACCCCTCATCTCTCTACCTACCTACTGCTACCGAGCCGAGGGGTTGCGCACGTCAGTACAGCCCTGGACACGGTCGCACGGGTACTGCGTTCACGTTTTCCTTCTTGCTCTTCGAGAAGTGCTGTTATTTCATACAGACTCCAGTGCATGTGTTGTGCGGGTGAAGATTTTTTTGGTGATCGTGCGTTTACTATCTGTGCATGTGTGCGTGCGTCTGAGTTTTCTTGCACGTGCGCTGCGCAAACTGTGCCAGAACGCAGCGGCTGAATTATGAACGGCATCACGTGAGTACAATGCGGGCGCCGCGTGCATTATTACGATACGCGCGCATCGTGTACCGGCCGGTACGCCTTTTCAGAAAGCGTATGCATTGTGCGTTGCTTTTTCATTTTGGAAGCGCAGGAACGAATTGATGAATGCGCGCGAATTTCAAGCTGCTCAGTTACTTCGATATCATAACGCTTAGCGGCGTATTATGTATTAAAATATCGATCAGCGTTGACAAAAATAAAACCACTACTGCCGATGTTAGAAACTTTAGCACGCGGTCTAGAAACAGAAGTGTGTGCGACAAGTCACTTCAAAATAGACAACTAGGGCAGATTATTAATGAATGATCAAAAGAATCGATAATAGCTTGTAAAATTTTATATAGCAAGGCTTTTGTATCAGGCTTGCTCTAGACTTTTGATCTCGAGACGATTAACGAGAAGGAAAAAAAAGAAAAGATTAAATTGCTCTCGAGAGGCTTACTTTTTTTCGAACAGAAAAAAATCCTTGATGTGCATCCGCTCGTTATGGATTGATTAATTCTATTGTCAGTACAAAAAGTCAGATCTCTATAAATAATACGAGAATTTTTTCTCGCACGATCAGTCGTTAAAATATGGGCACTTGTATTAATAACTCATCGGTTAATTTTTTTGAAGCAATGAACGTATGAGGGGAAAGAGAGAAGTGCTGCACACGTCCGTTTTTCATATTATTCTGTATATAGGTCAGTTGCTCGCACTGCGAGATTCCCGACAGAAATAGAGCATGCCAGAGGCAGGAAATACACATTTTACGTGATTTGTAATAATCGATATCGTCATTGAATTTCTCGCGCGAGAAATTTGTCGGCGAACGATGATTAGAGTGAA